ATAAGTGGTACATATTTGAGCACCTGTTTGATTGGATTGTTCAAATTCATATTCGTTTTGACTTCGGGATGAATCTTTTCACAAAGATTTGTCTTCGATCCTATTTATATATAGATAAATAATTTGGATTCGAAATTAAAAATCAAACTCGTTAAGACGGACATCAGATTGGATCGGATACTCAACATAACCAATTCCCAAAATAAACCTAAATTGCTCCTCAGTACTATTATCAGTCTTAAGAAGACACTAGATTTATCAAAGTTCACCAATTGCCTAAACAAAGCTTCATATCTCACCAGAATTTACTTCAGTTGGGCAGCTTGGTTGATTGTTACTTCATAGAATAAAAGGCTCCGTTTGGTTTAGATGGAACTAGCGAAAAAAAAAAAAAAAAAAAAAAAAAAAAAAAAGAAGAAGAAGAAGAAGAGAAGTAAAATTAATGAAAACAAAATTAATTTTCTTAGATACATTTGATTTGTTTGAAAATTTATTCAAGAAAATTATAGAAAAATATCATATTATAATTTGAATAGTATGAAAGTTACTAAAAATATTTGTACTCATCTAAACCGTCCTTATTTTATTAAAAAATTAATAATAAAATAAATAGTAGGATAATAATATATATACATATAATATGATGGAGTTTTCAATTAATTCAGACCTTGAAAACTATTACTATTCATTTGATTACCATATAGAATGGAAAACAACAATTAGGAGTAGAAGTCAAGTTAATTCAATCTCTACCACTAATCAAGTTATTGTTGCAAACGACAAGTTATTGTTGGTTTGAAAGTATGAATGGAATTGTTGGATAAGGATAAAATAGGAATGTAAAATAAAAAGAAGTGAAAATTTTATTTTCTCATGTTTTGTGAATAAAAAGATTTGGAGAAAATAACGAGTTGCGAGAATCTTAATTTTTGAGAATTTTTTCTTTTCATTCTATCCCACTCCAATTTTTTTTTTTAAAGTTCTCTTACTTTTATTTTCCCATTAATTCTACCGAACAAAACGGAGCCAAAGGGAATCATCAGCATAGAATAAGTGCATTATTGGACTGCAACCCCTTCCCAAAGAGAGACTATAGTTAAGTTAGTCCAATGACTTTGATGAGATGAGTGTTTATTTAATTTTTAGGCCCATTTTATTATAGATATGATCATGAATCAGCTTTGTAAATCTATATAATTAAGTAGAGATGTACACACATTATATATGATTTTTAGGCCCAATTTATCTTAACTTTAAGTTTTTAACGTATCAACGCTTAAATATAGCAACCCAACCCAAATAGCTTCATTCACTTTAAAAGCCCAATAGTTCAAGCCCATCCTTCATATCATCTAACATTTTCATCCCTTGCAACAAAAATTAGCCGTATCCAAGCGATCAAGCTTCCATCCGACGGTCGGAGAACTACCCGGGGACTACACTCCGTCAATGCTGAAGCCTGAAAATTAGCTCTCTGTCTCTCACTCGGCTGATTTCAAATATCTGAACTCATCCTCTCTCATTTCTCTCATATTGTGTTGATGGTTGACCAAAAACTCTGCAAGTGCCTTATAATGGAAACAAATAAGGGAAATCGGAAATCGATAGTGATGATCGAGATCACAACTCAGTGAAACGATTAGGTACGAGCATGTATATAAATATGCTTAGATATTTAATTTGTTTCTAAATTTATATATGTAAATGTGCGATTCTAAAGAGTTTCGAGCGAAGTTGGAAATGCTAGTGGACGGTACCAAATCGAGTTCGTAGGATCTCAGGTCGAGTTCGACCACTTGCTATACTACTGAGGCAAGCTCGAACAGGCCTTTACTTTACTCGGCTCAACTAGTTTCGTTTGTACTTTATAACCTATTTGATGCGTATAAGGGACGAAAGAGTTCATCATGCATCCACGGTAGATTATGAAGCATGTTAATAAATCCCAAACCACAATTGTCCGTGGAAAAATAAATAAATCATTTAAGACTAGAAAAATCAAGTCCCTAACAAGGCACCTTCCTAGAAAGGTAGTGGCACGCTCCCAAAGTCTACAGCATTTTGGAGCAAAGAAGACATGATGACCCTTCATGACTTGACTAATACTTCATAAAGCCAATGCTGACAAATATGTCAGTCATATTTACTATTGAAAAAGCGAAAGCGATGTTGGTGCGAACCTTGGCTTCGAATGTTACAATCTGATTAGTTGATACCAGGGGCTTTAGAAATCAATGAGTCTTTGCCCTATAGGTTTATAAATTCTAGTTTGGAGTACACTTACATTTCAATCTTCAAATAATCAACTATTTTTATCTATAAATAAATAAAAATTTATTTATTTCCCCATCTTTTCTTGATAACTTATAAATGCATAAGTATAATTTATTAAAATTAAAATTTTAAATTAAATTAGTCTAAAATATCACATAATGCATTTATAGACATAGTTAAATCCCAAAAGTGTTCTCGACTCGTTTTATCACTAAATGGTGTATAAACTCTCTCTTTTTTTTCCGTTAAATCAAATGTCTATAAACTTCAAAATAAAATAAATATCTATAAATATTCATCATTACAAACAAAATTTAAAAGATCTTAAAAAAAAAAAACATCCACAAAAATCTATAAGAATCTATATCTCACAAATTGTGTGTATATATATATTTCATTACTTAATTAGGATGACTTCATTCAGAAGAGAAAGACGAATCTATTCTTTCACCGAAGAGAAAAGAAGAATCTTCCAAATAGAAAGATATTGAATTTAGTAAAAAAAAATTATATTTAAAAAAAATATAGAATTAAAATTGTATTAGAAAACCAAAACGGTTGAGTTGGTGACGACACATGTCAAAACATTTAAAATCAATTCATTTGTGTTGATAGGTTGATGACCCACAACGTATTAACATATCATAATATTTAAAATCGTTTAATTTGTGTGGTGGTAAAATTGACATATTTTATTGTATTATTAAAATTTGAACAACAAACAAAAATATTTCACAAAAATAAAAATTTCTACGTACGCATATCATTAGCGGAGTTACTATCTAGATACGGATAATACGTAGGCATGTAGGCTTTCATGAAATTGACAAGCTACATGACTTTGTGGCACTAAAAGCCTCATGTCATAATCCAGTAATTTCTTGGTATGTCTGAAATAAATGTAAAGCCATAACTTCAAAAATAAATAAATGGTTGCTTCAATAATCTTATAAGACAACATATCCAATTCCATTCAAAACATATTGGTCATGTTTGGCTAATAGTTTTGTTTCATGTTTTTGTGTTTTGTTAATATATTGTAGCAAAATAAAACATAAAAATATTTTGTTGTCATTTGAATAGTATCAAGTGCTTGCAAATTTGAGGTCAAAATTGAAAACATAAAAATAATATTTTTGTTTGTTTCTGCACGGTAGCAAAGCACTGTTAATTTTTTCTTTTCTTTTCTAGAATAACATTCTTAACTAGTCATTTAATTTTTTCAAACGTGCGACACTTTTTATCAAACATATTTTCATATTTTTACTTTTCAAAATTTTATAACAAATTTACATTATCAAATAAACTTTAAAATAGTATTAAACACACTAATATTATTTCAGTTTTGGATCAAAACACTTTCGTAGTTGCAGACCCATTAACACGAAACGGTCATCGACCTCAGAGCACGCAACGAAACTAATGTGGCTCTTAATTAAGAAGGAAAAAATGGCTACGTAGCTAGAGAGAAGAATCAGAGTTGACAAGTCATCATGACTTGACTCAGTTGACAATGCCGTGTCACAGTGGGTTGAAGAATCTTTAAGACAAATTGATGTGTACTGCATATGCAGTAGCGACTCTCAATCGATAATTGCAGATGTGATTTGTTAAAAATATAATTATAATTAATATTTTATTTTTAATTTTATGAAGTATTAAATTTTTTATTTTATAAAATAATAATATTCTCTTTTATTTATTGACTAATATTCTCTATTCTCTTTTGTGTTTATATATAAAATATATATTGTATATAGCTAAATTTTTTTCTTTTTCTTTTTTTGGTTTGAATTGTCTTTAAACAGGCGGATTCATTCTTTTGTTTTTCGTTTATTTCGTAGTTTTTTTATTGATGATAAATTTTGCATATATTAAATATTATTTATTTATACTTTAGATGTGAATTTTTATAACTGTAAATTTTAATTGAAGTAAATTATAAAATTAAATTTTTTTTAACGTAAAATTGTATAATTGAGTTTTAGTTTATAAGTGAATGATTTAATAAAGAGAGAAAGGAAGAGAGAAGTAGAGTGGTTGAATTTTAGTTGAAGTAAAATTGTATAATTGAGTTTTTGTTATTTTTAAATTATTGAAATGAATGATTTAATAAAAAATAAAAATAAAAAGAAATAATACATTGACATAATATTAACTATATACATATATATGTTATATATATAGACACATGATTGAAGGAGAAGAGAAAATAATAATTAATAAACTAAAGAGGATAATATTGTCTTATAAAATTAAGATTTTAATATTTAATAAAAGTAATAGAATGTATTAATTATACCTACTTTTTCAACCAATCACATCTGCAACTGAATTGCATTCTTCAAAAAGAATATTAAAAGTTAATAATAATAACTTACTCATTGATGGACTCCACCTGAATAACTTAAACCTTTACCAAACACTATAAAAAAAAAAAATCGACCAAACGGATTATTAATATAAGATAATTCCTTAAAAATGAATGAGTTAGTTATTTTTATTATATTTTTTTAAAAAAAATTATAAATATTTTACGACAATTAAATATTAAAAAATAAAAAAATATCATTTGGATTGGTTACTCTGATATGATGCTGAATCCCACAAATGAAAGTTTTAAAAGACTCTTCCAAACAGGGCCAACATAATTAAGCTATATACTAGCTAGCTAGCAATAGAGTAGAATAGTTGCACGCAATGGAATTAATGTTGCTCTTAATTAAGCAGAAGAAATGGGCATTTCATGACTTGACTCAAAAGACCTCACAAGTCAATGCCGTGTGTACAGGTGAAGAATCACAAAGACGAATTGATGCGAACCTCTCTCTATCCGCTTTTAATTAAGTTGACAATCATTGTGTGAAACTGCATTTCTATGCTTGCTTGCAAGAAGCAATGGAAACACAAGTTAGAAGTGTTGTTGTGATATTGTTCGTATTTGCTCTTATTTTCATAGAATTGGGAGTTGGTGTTGGGTTGCAAATCAGTAGAGATGATCATCAATCAAATGTAAGCTGCACAGAGGTTGAGCTTAAAGCTCTTCTCGAGTTGAGGGAATCTCTCATTGATCATTCAAATCGTTTGTCGTCATGGGTTGGAGAATACTGTTGTACGTGGACGGGAGTGGGCTGCAGCAAGAGGACACGCAGAGTCGTCAAGCTTGATCTACCCAATTATGATGGAGCCATGTTGCAAGGTGAGATAAGTCCTTCTATTCTCAATCTGAGGCATTTGCATTACATCAACTTGAGCTTTAATAATTTTTCAGGAACCCAAATTCCAGAATTCCTAGGCTCCCTTAAGAACCTAAGATATCTTGACCTCTCTGATTCACATTTTGAGGGGCAAATTCCCCCCCAATTTGGAAACCTCTCCAACTTGCAACATCTCAATCTTGGCTTCAACAATTTACGAGGTCCAATTCCTGATACTCTTGGAAGCCTGTTATCTCTCACTTTTCTTGATCTCTCGTTGAATAGTTTTGACTCCCAAATTATGCCTAGTTGGTTGTGTAAAATGAGCAGCCTTGTTCATTTGGGACTCTCTGATGTAAGTTACGGAGGTCCAATTCTTCCTTGCCTTTGCAACTTGACTTCTCTCACAGTCCTTGATCTCTCTTGGAATAGTTTTCAAGGTTCAGTCCCAAGTGAGATAGGCAATCTTACACAACTTACTGTCCTTGACCTCTCTCACAACAAGTTAGAAGGTGAAATACCAAACACCATAAGGAATCTCTGCAGCTTGCACAGTTTCAATTTGTCTTCTAACGAGTTCACCGGAGAGGTACCATTTTTTCAGGGAAATAAATCTACTTGCCTCCAAAAAAGTTTAAAGGAGTTATATCTTTATTCAAACAAGTTTAGTGGTTTTCTGCCAAATCAGTTGGGAGAGTTTAAGATGCTAGAGGAGTTAGATGTCTCTAATAATTTATTTAGTGGTCCAATCCCAGCATCAATTGGAAGACTGTCATCATTAAGGTTTTATATGCATCTGGTAATCAGTTGAATGGGAGCATTCCTTCGAGTCTTGGACAACTTTCAAGGCTAGAGTCGTTAGATGTCTCTAACAATTCTTTGGATGGTATCATTTCAGAACTTCACTTTGCCAAACTCACAAGGTTAGTATGGTTGGACATGTCCTCAAACTTGTTAATTATGAATGTGAGCATCCAATGGGTTCCTCCTTTTCAACTCCAATCTATTCAATTGTCTTCCTGCATATTGGGACCCCAATTTCCTCCATGGCTTCAAACCCAGAAACATGTTGAATGGTTGCGAATTTCCAATGCATATATCTCAGATACCATCCCCGACTGGTTTGAGAATGTGTATTCTCGTATCAACTACTTAGATATATCTCACAACCAGATTTGTGGAAAGTTGCCCAAGTTTCAAGAATCTAATGCTACTACCCATAGCCGGTATCTATATTTGAATTCCAACAAGTTTGAGGGCCCCTTAACACCATTTCTGTCAGGTGTCGAGGAATTAGATTTGTCCGACAACTTACTTTCAGGAAATTTTCCTCTCGTTGATGATAATATTGATATCACTTTTGTAGTTCTTCGTCTCTCAAATAACAATTTGACTGGTGATATTCCAAAGTACATATGCAAGATGATGGCTCTGCGAGTACTTGATCTCTCGAAAAATAAAATATCAGGAACACTCCCTTGGTGCATGGGGGACTTGGATCGACTGATAGTGCTTGATATGACGAATAACAATCTCAATGGTCATATTCCAAGTTCTTTGGGTTCTTTACAATATCTCTATTCTTTACATTTGCGGAACAACATGTTTCACGGGAAGATCCCTTCAACTTTGCAGAATTTGGCATCTCTTAATATTCTCGATCTAAGTGATAATGAATTAACTGATATTATCCCTTCATGGATTGGAGAAATGTCTTCTCTACAATTTCTCACTCTTCGATCGAATAAGTTCCATGGTTATATTTCTCCACAACTCTGCCACCTCTCTACTCTTCAAGTGTTAGACCTGTCACATAACTATATAAGTGGAAGTATTCCTCGCTGCTTTGCCAACTTCACTGCCATGGTCGCGAATCTCAATGCGGAACTTACAGAGATTCGGTATCCACAATACACAGAGAAAATGTTAAATATCATTAAAGGAGTTGAACTTGAATACACTAGCACACTCCGATTTCTCACATCTATAGATGTTTCAAACAATCACATAGTTGGAGAGATTCCTGAAGAGTTGATGGATCTTATTGGGTTGCTGAGTTTCAATGCATCCAAAAATCATCTAAATGGAAGCATCCCAGAGAAGATTGGAAATATGAAAGCTTTGGAATCACTTGATTTGTCAAGAAACAAACTTTCTGGTTCAATCCCTCCAAGCTTGTCCGATATGAACTTTTTAAGCTACTTGAACTTGTCGTTCAACAACTTGTCAGGACGAATACCAACAGGAAATCAACTTCAAACACTCAATGATCCATCCGTCTATATGGGCAACAATCAACTTTGTGGACCACAAATCTCCAAGAGTTGCCCTAGTGATACTTCGTCTGATGGTCATCATCATGATCAACATGTTCTTGAGTCGGAAGAACGTCTAGCATTCTATACTGCCCTTGGACCGGGTTTCTTGGTTGGCTTCTTGGGAATTTGTGGCATTCTGCATTTCAAAAAGTCTTGGAGGTATGCATGGTTTCAGTTTGTGGAGAATACTTGCAACAACCTACTGGTGGCAGTTGCACTGAAGGCAGCTTGGGTGCAGAGAAAGTAACACAAAGATGAAATGGGAGGATAATTTCCTCTCTAAAATGGTTAGTCTCTCTCTCTATATCTCTCCAAACACATATAGAGACACGCACCCACACGCATATATGTCTATATATATATTTATATATTTATCACACGAATACACCCACGCACATATCTAGTTTAAACAATGAACTATGTATTTTCTTTGGTTTTTGTCTATATGAAACTTTTGAGATATTCTCTTATTTCAAATTGGAAATGGAAATTTATTATACCAATATTCTTAAGCGTAGTGCTTGACCTATGCATCGTTTTCTCAATTATAATCAGATCATCGAGAATATATAACCAATTACCATTCATTCTTAGCATAATTTGATAATAACAAATAATTTAATTATTTCTTCTTTATGTCAGTTTTAATGTTTTTTTTTTATTTTTAAATGAAGCTACCCAAGGAAGTAACATATATGAACTAAAAGATATCAAATGTGTATAGATGACCTTAATTAAGTAACTTTATTGCATTTTAATGTACGTAAAAAAACCAATATTGCATCTACTAGCATTTTCTGCCATATAATTGTTTGTAGTTCTCTTCATCACAGGGGCTCAAATTCATTTTTTTTCTCCTTTTCCTTTTCGCCACAAGGTTTTAAATTCAGTTGAAGTAGATGAGATTCAGATGGAAGCAGACAAGTGAGCAGTGGGGTTTTCGTAAGATGGAAAAGGATCGCTACTACAATAAAGTTCAGAAAAATAAAGTTAGACAATGATATATTTTTGGTAATTTGTTATAATGTTAGTGTGATAATTGTGTACTCTCCTAAAACATATATTGTCTTGATTCAATATCTATATTCTGCCATTATTAGACTCCTTGGAGGCTTATACACATGTATATGTATGTATATGTACAAGATAGCTATGGTATATGATACATCATGTCAGTTTCCAAGTCCGTCCAGGATTATAATATTGTTGAAAGTCTAAGAATTTAGCAAGTCTCAAACCATGCATGGTGGATATATTTTATATTTGCTTAAATCAAGGCTTGAACTCAAAACCTCAACAATGAATTATGATTGGTTTTCTTTTATTATATATGCTACCAAATATAAACTATTTTGTCTCTCTTTATAAATCTAGTTTAATCATTCTCATGTGACCATTTAGAAGAATTAATCTTATTATTTTCTATTTACCCTATATCATTAGAAAATTTCCTCCCGTTATCTTTAAAAACGGAAGAGACGCACCATGTCAAAGTGGATTGTGTTGTTTGCTTCATATAATAGATTTAAAGGAGCGCCTCTATAACGCTCGTCTCAAATTCTTCATTTGAGTCGAAAAAGAAAGGCAACAACAATAAAAAGGCCGAGATTTAAAGGACAGATGCCCAAATTACTTGTAAGAGACGACATTGATGCAGTCACAGTACCACAGGCACAAGCTATGAGAATGATGGGGAGTGAAGCTTCACCAAGGTTAAACATGTTGGCCAACTGCGAGCACAAGCTCCTTTTTCGAATCACTTCATTTTCAAGCATGGTGATGCATACGAATTCCACTACAAAGCATTGATGTGTAGAGAATAGGGCACAATCATGAGAACTATGATCTTTATATGATTACAAGAATATTGACAAACCTGAACAAATGACAATCAAACTAGCTGCAGATTACAAATATAGACTGTAAAATGACCAACACAAGGGAATGCCAACAAGCTACCTATACAACACAACCACTGCCACTCCAATAAATTCTGCCAAAAAAAGGTTAGCTCAACTTCATTTATCCTCCATTTTCTTTCTTGCTGATTCGAAGCAGAGGGCTAAAGGACAGTCTAAGTCAGAAGCATGACAATTCATCCACAAGCTTTCTTCCTCACTTTTTTACTTTCTTGACAAACTCAGTGAAGAATATTCTGTCATCAGCATGCGAGTTACAATCTTATACTCAACCACAAAAGTGTAAAAGAAGGAATAGATGGGAGGAAGAAAAAGAACTGAAGTCCAGGCCAAGGCAGATTACTCATTACTGCTGTAACTGAGGCATCTTGTTACTGGGTGCTGCGCGTCATCCCACTTCGTGCTACATTCCTGCACAAAGAATTCACGTTTTAAATTTAAGGAGTTTGAATGCAAGCAGTAAAAATAATAATAAAAGCAGTAATCCATGTAATGGAGTTATATGGATCAGTAATTTAGTACATGAGCTTTGAGAATGAATAGAGTCATTCTAAATGAATACATTAATTCAGAGAGTGTTTCTACAAGTAATAACCAACTTAAACAACATCCTGAACTTTGGCACTCAAAATTGTTTCAGCAACATATTACTATTCCAAGACAAATGGTACACATACCTCAATAATAATAATAATAATAATAAAACAGAAACTCAGAAGAACAAAATGCAAATGACCCTGATTCACCAGCTCAGCCTCAGCCTGAGGGTTGCTGTTTGGTGTGCCTCCTATCCAATAAAAACAAACAGCAAATGGATAACCCATCAAGCTGTGTAATGAAAATTGCAAACAAAAGCCTGGCAAAGGCACTTGTGTAAGGGCATGATCTCATTTTCCTTGGAAAATATTTTTTGACCATGGCTCTGGATTTAAAGTTTTTGCTTGCAGTTATCGCTCAACAGTCGAGTAAGAAAATAAAAATTCTAAAATGGATTTCTCAGCTAATATTATAGATTTTCAACAAACCACACCCAATTAAATACTATTATTCACTACTGGTCCCACCTACACAAGGTTGCTAGAGAGCTGAACTGGACACAGATCTAATCTTTAGGTCTATTTTGCACGAAGCGTCAGCTCTCAAAGTCAAACCAGTGTGAGGACGCGCAGACACGAAAATTTATTATAAAAATAAAAATAACAACAACAAAGACTTGTCAACATATCCACAAATTAGCCTGCTCCTTTGGGAGTACCCCCTTTCAAGTCTCACCGAAGGTAAGGACCATGCACGTGGTTTACGGGAGATTGCGTGCATCTGGAGTTTGCAAACCATCCAAAAGTCCAAAGTGGCTACCAGATGGGTTGATTCTTTGTTATCCAAAATATATGTGTGTGTATATATATATATTTATATCCACAAATTCATGTACCTAAAGTCATCTTAGAAATTGCACAACTTAGAAAATGAAGTTCACAAACTTCTTCTAGACTTCTACATAATTATACAATGAATGCTGTACCATTAACTTATTATGATCTTAACATGTGAAGAGCATGTGACGCATAATACTCTAATAAGTATGTTGCCATATTGCATCTAGTTTGTCGTAAACATGCATTTTAGTCTTTATATAGTGTATTTAAAAATGATAGCAGCAATATGTCCTCAACATACAAGGATAATTCTCCATAAATTAATTGTTTGCATAAACTTGATGGCTGCATTTGGACTTGCATGAACAAGGTGGCATACATTTTCCTTGTATATATACACACTTACATTTTCCATAGAGAAACTTGTTTTATAAAAAGCCAAAGACATGCACAAGAGATCATCAAAGTACAGCAAGCATATGTTTTTAAAACCAAAAGTGGAAGAAATTTTCAACATATGGCGATGAAAATAAAAAGGAGCATATTTGATGCAAGTATTAAGGGTCAAGGAAACATAGATATCATGTCAGCAAATTGGAAACCAAAGAGAACCCCGATGCATAGACTAAAATTGGAAAAAAAAAAAAAAAGAGAGAGAGGAGGTAAAAAGGGAGGCATATTTGATGCAAGTATTAAGGGTCAAGGAAACATAGATATCATGTCAGCAAATTGGAAACCAAAGAGAACCCCGATGCATAGACTAAAATTGAAAAAAAAAATTAAAATTAAAAAAAAAAAAATAAAAGAGAGAGAGGAGGTAAAAAGGGAGGGGTGGGGGGGGGAGGACTTAAAACAATAAACAAAATGCATCATTCAAGATGAAAAATTAAATAATAATACTAATAAAGCAAATTTGCAACAAAATTGATATCCTGAAGGGTCAATATAAGACAAATCATTGCAGTACAAGTGATACAGGTACAAGTATGCATGTATGCACTACTGCTTCTATATAATATATACAGGATAAAAGAAGACAAACCTTCCTATGAGTAGCTGAGAACTGTTTGTGGGACCCTTGGTATTCCCAAATCGCTTGGCCCTGTTTTCATGTTCTTTCTCCACGCGCATCGCAGCTACCTCCTTCTCCATGGCAGCTACTTCCCTTCTCATCTTCTTGGCCTCAACCTCCATTGCCTTTGTCAAAGTATCTACTTTCTTCGCTAACATCTTAAAAACAAGATTCATAATCAAACATTTAATTTTTTTTTTTTTTTTTGATAAGTCAAAACATTTAATATTTATAATCAAACATTTAAGATTCACAATCAAACATTTAACCAAATAAGCCAAGAAATCAACCTCAATAGCATCATCCTTGTCTTTGAGGCTTTGATCCTTCTCATGACCAGCTTTCCTCAGCAAGATCACCTCTTTTTGTAGCAAGTCATATATTAACACTGGAACAGTATCTTCTGCATCCACTGTTGAAAATTCATTGGGTTTTTCATCTGGACTACCTTTCCAGGTAGTATTTACCTCACTGTCCTTCATTCCCTCACATGACAGGCTGTCATTGAAATTAGAAGCCACCCCATTTAAGAGAACTTTACCCGTGTCTAATGAGCGTGTGCCGCCATCAAATGACTTTGACGTCCCTTTCGCATGCTTCAATACTGAATTAGTGCCAGAAGACGGAGAAGATCTCAACTGGAAGGATGGTGATCTCTTAGGTAAAAAGCCATTGGAGGTCAATTTGGAGATGTTATCAGCTCCACCCAGGGATTGGCGACGACCATTGCTTACACTTCTTCCTTCTAACATACTCCGGCCGTTATTGCTCGATGATCTCAAAGTCTCTTCTAGTACTTTGAGCCGCAGTTGGTATTTTTCCTGGAAGGTGAAACAGAAAAATTATTACATTAAACCAGGCTAGAAGATATCATTATACAGCTCAGCTATAGAACCAAATAATTACTTTCAATTGTGCTTCGGATTTCGCAGTTCGCTCAGCTACAGAGAGCTTGTCCCGGAGTTGCTGCATCTCTCCCTGCAACAGCAGGTATTGGTTACATTTAATAACTTCTGAAGTAAGAGAACCCAAACCTAAACAGTTTTGCCGAAAAACAAAACAAATTCAAAAGTTTCAAATGAGAATTGATTAGAAACTAGCATATACCTGCAAGAACCTTCTTTCTTCAAGCCATTGTTTTACAGGCATCACTTTATCATTAGCATCTTTCCATTCATTAGCTACCACTACCGCTACCCTGTTTGCTGTTACTTTTGCACGAGCCAGCTCCCTGTCAAGAGTTTTTCTTTCCTCCTAAAAATATAAAGAAACAAATGCTTCCAACTTTGAGGATTGTCTTATATCTACAAACCATATCAAGTAAAGGACGATACAGGTAAGAAGAAAACAACTCTCAAGGCTTCAAATGTGTAGGGCACATTACATTCATCTCTTGAACTTTCCGCTGGTAATCCCTCACAGCATTTGCAGCTGCACCACCAGCAAGTACAGCCTCTTCAAGCTCACGTACAGTTTGGGTAAGCTTCTCAACCTCGGCAACCTTTTGGCGATGCATTTTATCCAAAATTTTATTTTCTTCCTGATACATGCATATGTTAGATGTACAAGTCCAGGCTAATAAGACAATAACCAGAAACGTATACAGCTAAAGCTTTAATGGTGTTGAAAAGAGAAATTGCAACCATTATCATAGTACCTGGCAAATTTCTATCTGCTTCATCAACTCTTGGTTCTTATTCTGGAGATCATCAACCATAGAAGCCTTAGCCAGGGCAACCTGAACTGTCCTCTCAGCTTCAATTAAAGCAGCCTCTTTTGATTTTGTGAGGCGATCTAATGCTTTGTTGTCATCTTGCAGCTTTGCAATCTGGAGGCAACCAAGACATTAGAGCAATGATAGAATAAATGGTCCTGATCAATTATAAGGAATTTTGTTTAGCTACAGGATCATCATTATGTCCAAAGACGGGAAAGAAAGAATACCTCTTGCCGAGCAAGCTTGAGCTCAGCCTCCAGTGGTGCAAGGATGGCTTCAATTGGTGGCATATCATCATCTTTTTGAGCAGCATGAACCCTTCGAAGAGTGGCTTCCGCTGCAAACTGAGCTGCCATTGAGGCCTTCTTCTCATCATTGATTTTCTTAATCTCAAGATTCTGCAAAAAGAAAAAAGAATAAAAAAATAATTTTACCACATTAAATAAAGCTCTGTTACAGCATGAGAAAAAATAAATTGAGGTAGAAAAGAGTTTTGTGCAATACTTTGCTTTCTAGAAGAGATTCTGTTAGCTTGAGCTTCTCGTCCATCTTTGTCAACTCTTCAGTGAGCTATAGATAATACGACAGGGAAAAAATAAATAAATAAATAAAAATTTGTCAGGTTTGTTAAAAAGTTCTATCCACATGAATCCAGAAACGTGGTCTTAGAAATACATAAATAAACATAAATGAAGAAAACAAAAGGTGCTCCAGACCCGCCAACAAAGCTATTGCTCAGCTTAAAAATCAAACAGTAATATATTTAGGCAATCCCAAATACCCAGATTAATTAACCTAGATTTCCCAATTGCTTTTAAGGTATCTTCTAAGAAGTCACCAATGGAATCCCAAAATCTTCTTTACAGAAGATTGGGGATCAATATAGTTATCAAAATTTGAAAAATAAAAAATATAAATTGCACAAAAAAAAAGTCACAACATCTTTAAACAGCATTGTAAAATTGCCCAAATCATAACATTAGTATCCAAAGCAGCAAAGTATGACAAGATAAATTTTAGAATTCCCTGCAACCAAGAAGATTTCATAGGCATTTTAAATTATAACAGTGACTTTTATTAAAGAAAATACCAAAAATCATATCATTGCATGAACATTTAGTCTTAACAAGTAAAATAATGCAACCTCAGAACCCCCTAAGGAAATTCCAGAAAAAAATGAATGTCATAAACTTAAAGGGAAAATCCCCAGCTGCTTCAGAGGAATTTAAACAAGCATCAAGAAGCAATATAAATTTCATATTGAAATAATGTGATATTAATTGTGAAAAGTAATACAAAATCAAAAAGATGAAGAAAGTTGACTATCTATGTAGGTAACCTAAATCATACATAAAAAATATTATGCTGCCTCTGTTATAAATCCACCATCGGCAAGAAATTCTGGTGATCTACATAAAAATTAGATACATTCCATCGTGACAGGGTTGCCAAACAAGCTCCATCCTTCTAATTCCGCAACAAACCCATTTTATTGCCTGATATAGTGGTAAAAGCTCAAACTTCCAAAAGAGTTTTGAGTTAAGAGGACATGGACTAGTACAGATAACGCAAATGCTAGGTTTGCAACTAGCCCAGCCATTCCCACAGTCTCGATCAACAATGACAACAAAGTTGATGAGATTCATTGCTTTGATAGTGACACCACATAACATCAACTAATGGGATTCACAATGGTGAATGGAATAAATCTGACACTAGAAGTGACTGCAATGATAAAACAGACGAAACAGAACCAAGTGAAGTAGAAATGGAAGTTCAAGAGAAAAATCTTTGATAAAATAAATCGCTATTAAACATGGACCAAACAAAACTTAAATTCATTCAAAATTTCATAAGATAGCACCAAATTAGGGGAAAGATGAAGACAAATCATCACCATCAAATCCAAACAGATCATATCTAATATCTCACAAGTATCTGGTGTTTGGCAATTTCATATAATAAAATAAAATAAAATAAAATAAAGAATACCCAACCAAAATGCATAGAGTTTGGAAATGCAACAATTAACTGTTTTGTATGTAGGAGAGAACTCTGAAAACTGAATTAATTTTTTAAAAAAATTATACAAATCAGTTCAATTACAAACATTAAGCTATAACACAAACACATAAAATTCCACCAAAAAATATAAACATAGATATATATATTCTCAACATAGATAGATAAAGAAAGAACCTCTTCGACGGCCTTTTCTCTGAGGCGTTCTGACAACTTCAATGCCTTGATCTCAGCTTGCGCCTCTCCTAATTCTCGATCCTTATCTGCAAAAAACGACACCAGCAACCAAATCAACCCAAAATTATATCCAAACAGTATCTGAATCCGCGGATCGAATCGCATTCTCACCTCTGACTTCATTCTCCAACCGATTGAGCTCCACCTTCACCGGATCCGAACCGTGCAGCAAATTTAAGAACTCATCGGCGTCCAAACTCGGCCGAACCGAAGCTCGCCTCCGCGAACTCTTACTCTCCTTAAACGATCCTGACACCATCAATGGCGTCGCCGTCGCAAACATCGCCTCATTAGCCAACGTCTGCCGGACATTTCCCCCGTTCTCTCTGGTACTCAGCTCCGTCGTCCAACTAGCCGGAGACAAACACTCTCCGTCGCCGGAAATATCGGCCATGTCGGATCTGACACACTATCTCACATCAAATAACTATAACTTCCTCGTAGACAATCACAGTTGCTAGGGTTTCGATTTAGAGATATATAGATAAAATAGATACTTTCTAGGGAAAGAAAGTGATAAAGAGTTTTGGGAGAAATGTGGAAACGTATTCGTCTCTCCTCACTTCAAATAAACGGAGGACAATGCTTTTGTTTCTCTCTCTAGACAATGGTTTTAAATCTGCATCATCTCGCTAGGATAATGAGTTTCTCTTTCTAGAAATGTGTTAGAGAAAGAATGCGCGTGTCAGCTACTTGGCTGTTTTTTATTATGAATATAAAAATCTCTGTTATCAGAGACGCTTTGCTGTTAAGCAGAGACACTACTGCAGTACTACTGCGTGTGAGGCGAGTGTATTAGTAAACTACACTCTTTTGTTTGACAGGAAAGCTCTCTATAATGAGCTGTGTGCGTAATGCACATACTGCCTGTGAAAGCTAAAGCTTAGGGTGCGTAATGCGCATACAGCCCCCGAAAGGAAATATTGGGCGTGCACAGTACGCACACTTGCGCGTTTTTAACCCATCCGATGTTTCATGTCGTGTCGCGTTGGAAGCTAATTTTAATTACCCCTTTTCCTCAAAAATAAAAATTGTAAATTTGTTTTTAATACGGAAAGCCGAATTGTGCAACTGTAATTACCCTTTTTCTCAAAAAGTAATATTGTAAATTTGTTTTTGAATACTTTAACTGTAATGATGTTTCCGAAAAATAAAAAATAAAAAGCTGTAATGATGTGAATATTTTATGTGTATGTATAAATTTTCAAGAGATGCACATAAGCGTCTTCAAATTCCATTTAAACCGAACATTTAGACTTGTCGGGACTTATTGGGCGATGTTGTTTTCGTAAAAATATTTTTAAGAAAATTTTTTTGGGTTGATTTGATGTCGAAATCTCCTTTGACCCATTAATCTCTCTTTATGGATAGAACTATTTTTTGAAGATATAAAGGAGAAGAATATTTAGATTTTCAGGGCAAAAGATTCACAACATAGTCATATGGACCAATAATAAATGAACATGTCATAGTTTAATAATCAAATCATAAATGATAATCAAATCACCATCTCTAATTTGCTAAATAAATACATATCCTATCATCTTTTATTTGGTAATTAAATATCACATGTCTATTTATTATTGATTCACAGTGAGTATATTGTAAATTCTCGCTAAAGAGGACCTAAGTATTATCCTATTTGAATTATGTTAACGAGGTCTTCATCAAAGCAACAGAACTAGTTAAGAAAATAGGTTTGAGACTTAGATACAAATGGAACTAGTTAAGCAAATGCTTCACATACACACACTAGTAAAAGAAATTATCAAACTCTTTATATTTTTTTTCAAAATTATTTAAAAAAAACCTTTTACAAATAATTAATTAGTAACTTGTTTTGAGTAATTGAAATTTTATATATTTATGAAGTCAGGTGTATTGTCTTTTTACACATTTATTAATTACAAACAAAATTTTAAGAGTTAAGATTAAAGTTTAAGGAGTTTTTCTAATTTATATAATTCTTACCAATAAGAAATAAATATTACTTTTAAATAAATATTAAAATTCATATTTTAAGCAATTAGACATAATTGTAAATTACAACAAGTCAACAACGTAAGATTTTAAAAGAAAAAAACGTAAAATCTAAATTAATTGAGTTTCTTACGGAATTGAGAAAGATAAATTATTCAAATATATAAAAAGTGACTAAATACAATAAATTAAGGACCACTGTGCCCAAATACAACCCTTTTTCGGACCAGTGATTACTAATTGAATTAGACAAAAAATTCACTCATAACTGTATTTGGGCAACTTGAATTTGGTGTTTAAAGCAAAAATGTTACATATTACTCGAGGAGCTTAAATAGGTAGTACTGCAACACATAGAAGTAATAAGATGTCTAGAAAGAATGTTTTTGAAATTTGGAGACATAAAACTGTAATTTTTTTTTGTTACGCGAGTGATTGAAAAAGGACAGTGCTATAAAACTTTTGGGTTTGGGTTCAATCATGATCATGAATATACTGTTGGAAACAGGGGCATTAAAAACATAAATTTTGAATGAGATTTGAAATAGATTCCGCTAATAATTTTTTACGAATCTCTAGACAAGCGCGTTTCTCTCCGCAAGGAGATGAACGTGGTATATTTACTTTCTGAAATCCATTTCCGGATGAATGAGAAATTAGCTCCAAAGTGTGGTGTTTTGATAAGCCTAAATGGGTATGTAAAATGTGGGAAGTGTTTGTCCCACATGGAAAAAATGTTGAAACAAATTGAAATTTAAATAAGCTGAGTTTAGGATTTGGGCTTGGGCTTGGGCCTAATTGTAAAGTCCAGATTATTCTTTTTTTTGGAATTTTGGATTGGGCCTAATTTTGGGCTGGACTTATTTAAATGGGTTTCACAAATGAGTAGGGTTTTTGGGTGGGTGGTTTTTTGAATTAAAAAAACTACTTTTTAGTTTTTCTAAAAGGTTACACCTTTTAAATTAAAAAAACCATATTTTAGTTTTTTCTAAAGGGTTACACCTTTTAAATTAAAAAACCACTTTTAGTTTTTTCAAAGGGTTACACCTTTTTCCGAACCATCATAACCCATAGTTGCACCCACTCGAAAAGGCACATTGTAACCTATTGGAATGAATGTGTCTATTGGTGAACAGACACCATGTGAACCATTGCAACCTATTGGAATGGATGTGTCTATTGGTGAACAAACACCATGTGAACCATTGCAACCTATTGCAATGGTTGTGTCCAATGATGAAAAGACGCACCCCATCCGAAAAGGCATTTCTATTTCTATAAATACCCCCCTTTGGATCATTTGCAAGTCATTCATTTTCATTTTCTTCTATCTCCCTCTCTAGACTGGAACCCAACCCAAGAAGGTTCAAACCATAGGTTAAGTGGTTCGAGCCACTTCGACCCTAATCCAATTTCATCGAGCCATATTAAGATTGGTCCGAACCATTTGGTTCGGATTACACCCAATTCAGCATTTATATAGTATATAGATGCATTTTTGAGTCAGAGAGAGTATTACACGGAGGAGGTTCGCCGTATCCACGAGTTTGTAGTGCTGCTACTGGTGGATGTAGACCGTTGTATCCTGGGAGATAGACGCCACTGAGTCCGTTAGCACCATAGCGGGGCGAATCTGTCTTAAGGACATAGTATTCAATACTAGCCTCGGTCCAGGTTCTTTATTGATTATTATGATTTTATTAATTTATTTTGCATATTTAATTAAATATAGAGTTGAATATTTAATTAATGATTTCTTAACATATTGTTAATTATCTAATGACATATTAGTATAAGATTTGTTATATCTTAAATATCACATGAAGCATATATTTTTCCAACATATACCTATAAGAAAAAGAACAAAAATAATAATAATAATAACAATGAATTCTTGAATACTAATTATATTAATCTCTGAGTTGCTTAAAAACCTTTATCAAATTCCAAAATAAAAAAATAAATATAATCATAGTCAAATAGAATATAAGAAAGAACTAAAATTCTTTTTAAATTGAAACCTCAAGAAATAACGGCAAAAGTAAAATCAATAAATCATAATCAAATAGGATAGGAAAAAAAAAAGAGACAACTTAATCAAAAACCCCAAACTGGACGAACCTAATTCATTGAATTCTACAAGGAAAAAAAAAAGAAAAGAATTAAGAACAAAGGTAAAATCATATAATATACATAATAATGACAATTTCCATTAAGAATTTTCAAACATGCAAAAAAAAAAAAACTATAACTATCTGACAATAAGGTTTAGTAAACAAGACTAAACAACTTAATAAATTTATATTCATACTCAAATAGAATAGAACAAATAATTTAAAAAATAAAAAAAAAAATTGAAATCTCAAAAAATAATAGTAAATGTAACATCAATAGAACCGCAATCAAATAGAATAAAGAAAAAAGAATGGAAAAAAATTAAAAAAAGAACTTAATAAAAAATCCTAAATTGGACAAACCTAATCCATCAAATTCTACAAGAAAAAAAAAATCAAGAAATAAGGATGAAGGTAAAATCAATAAAATCTTACATATACATAATAGTTGTAATTCCCATTAAGAATTTTCAAACATGCAAAAAAAAACTATAAATAACTAACTATAAGATTTACTAAGTAAAACCAAACAACTCAGAGAAATTGTAAAAAAAATTGAATGCACGAGGATTACTCTAAACTGGACGAATCTAATCCTATCAAATTTTGCAAGGAAAAAAAATCAAAAAATAAGGACAAATGTAAAATCAATAATAATAAAATAATAATTTTAATTAATTATAAAACATAAAGCATTTCAAAAGTTAATTTTTTAAAAAAGTTTTAAATAGAGTTAAAAAAAAAAAATTCTAATTTTATAAAAATGTACAGTAATCACCATTCTTCTATATGCAAATTTGCAATAATTTACATTTTATACAGAATTATTGATGTTATGTCGAGTAACATAGAATTTTTTTTTTTTTCTAGGAGTTTACTTTAAACTAATTTTTACCCACAAAATTTTCTTTTGTTTTCTTTCTCCTTATGTTAATAGAGGCAACTAACGATAGGTAAATAGACTACAACTTTTTTACCTCAATAAATATTAAAGTTATTTTCGTCATTAAAATCTCAGTCATTCCTGCCCCATACATGTTCAAGAAGATTTGAAATTGATAAAAACTTTGAATAAAAGTTACCATCTATTGTCAAAGTCATCCTAATATACATAATAATTGAAATTCCCATTAAGAATTTCAAACCTGCGAAGAAAATTGTAAATAACTAACGAAAAGATTTATTAAATAAAATGAAATAACTTAGAGAAATGGTAAAAATTATTGACATGTACAAGGTTACATTATACATGATAACTGTAATTCCCATTAAGAATTTTCAAACACAATAAAAAAACTTAAAATAACTAATGATAAGATTTATTAAATAAAATGGAACAAATTAGAGAAATTGTAAAAAAATTGACATGCACAAGGATTCAAATAGGGAAAAAAAAACATTGATATTTAGGAAGATTAAAAAAATAAACCTTTTTTGTGGAGATCCACTCTCTCTTCTGCCACCAAACAGTGCTCCTGCTTGGCTACGCTCTTAGTTTCGCCTTCTCTTCTCTCTTCTAGTTTCAATCAATAAAAATTGTAAACCATATATGTACGTTTCTACTTGGAAAAGAATTTTAATTCAAAAAGGAAATCTAAAGGGTGAAAAAGGAGTAGAAACTTATTTATAATATATATTTAAAAATAATAAAGTATTTTTTTTTTTTGTTCCCCAACAACCTCAATTATGCTTTTGTTTTCTTCAAATCTAAACAGATTCCCGTGATAAATGCAAACACATATAGACAGCATACCTAATTCCAGAACCATTTGTTAAATCAAATTGGGACTATTTCACTCACATTTTCTTCCCCCTCCTCGTTTTTGGGCTCAACTGGGTCAAGGAAAGAGGCATTCTGGCTGTTTTCTTGTGATTTTTGGCTCTGTTTTTACAGGTTGATTGTCGGATTAATGTTATTAGACAGGCGGAAAATTCTAATCGGAGTGGTTTTGTATTAATTACCAAATAAATACAACTGATTTTATATTGGTCCAAATGGTAGAAGAGGCTCATACAAGTAATCTCATTATATTAATTACATATTTCTTTTATTAATGTATTGATTATTCTTTGTTTATCGTATTAATTACCAAATAAATACAAGATCAATACAAGTTTCTAAACAGTTTTATCTTATCATTATTTCTTTTCTTTTTTTTTCTCTCAACAATTTCACATCTACCGGATTTCTTCTAATTTTTAAATTCTCTTACATATCAATAGTTCAATACTTATTCTAACATTATATTTCTTTTGGATTTTGTAATTTGTTTACTTAGACTTCGTAAATTATTGACTTTCCTACCCATCAATTACCTGCACAATTAATTCACAAAAAAATTTTGATAAATTAAACAAGTAAATACACTGCTAGGTACACTTAACAGCTACACTAATAGCCACTAGACATGATTGGGCCGCTTTTTTTATTATTTTTTATTTTATATATTTTAAGAGTTGGTCGAATATAAATTTTTCCCACCTAAATTGGATTTTAGTAGCAAATTCAAAAGACAAATGATAAAATTCATTTGTCCTTGATATTGTTTTGAAGTTAATCTTGACTTTTTCTCCTTAGAAATTTCTTAGAAATTTCTAATATTTCTTGAATATGAAGATTAGAATTTAGAACTTGAACCTAGAAAAATATTAATATCATGAAATCATTCAAACTGTGACAAAGTGACTAGAGTCATTGAAGCTTTCGAACTAGTACAATATCTAAAAACATTTTTATTTTATAGAATCTCAATTAAATTAACTAAATGGCAAACGGATTAAATAAGTAATAATCCTTCAAATTATATATATATATATATATATATATATATATATATATATATTTGTTCACAATAGTGGTGTTGGACCTCTTAAAGTACCTCATAAATTATCACCGTCCCACATCTATCGAGCAATTATCGAAAAAATTTCCTACAAGTGACCTCAAGGTGATTCTAATAATGTTTAGTGGCTTAAGTGGCAGAATTGAAGCATTAAGTAAGGTAGAATTTGGAATAGCTCAAAAAAATATATAAAAAAAAGAAAAAAAAATCTAAAACTTTGGAATTAATTTATACTATACAGGAAGATAAAGTGTTGAACACATCTTTCCATTTAGGACTAATTTTGGTTTTTGAATTTGTTTTGCAGCCTGCCGCCAAAACACTAATTACCTACCAGACCTATTGATTGAGACTTAAATCTAAATTGATATGATTATTGATTTTGATATTAGATTAGCAAAAAAATTGTTCAATTTTCAAATGATTGAAATTCAAACTGGTGCAATATGCTCTTCTCTCTTGAGCCGACGTGACAATGGCACTGTTCATTTATGAAAAATACATGATATCAGCATATGACTTTTATAATCTAATTGGATAAGGATAAAAATAATCAATTTAATTTATTGAGGCAAAATAATCAAGTCCTCACTAGTATGAGCAGTATTCTGGTCCCATGACGAGTTTCAATTCACTGTAACTTTAATCGCTTGACTAAAAACATTTTGTTTAAAAAGTGATTTTAGGGTGTGTTCGGCCGCATGAAATTTGAGAAAAATTAATTAAGAAAATTAAATTATTATTATTTTTTTTAAATTTCACCAATTTTAATTTTAAGATTTCAATTTTATGCAGCCAAACACACCTTGGTGCTATTGTTTTGTGCTCTATTCTCTTCCACGCCTTGTGGACATATTTTACTGCATGTCTTTTTAGAGGTTTTGTGAGGCATTGTAAATGATCTTATTATAAATTGAAAATTTAGGGACACATTCCTGTTTTGATGTTTCGTGGAGGAATTTTTTTTGGCACTTCTTAACCATGTAGACGTGTTTTGAGGATAATCGTAAGTATCAAAAGAAGAGTGTGCAAAACGGATAATATCTACACGATGTAATTAGTATATATGGGTTAATCATTTGTTCAATTTATGAGCAGTAAGAATAGTTTCCACAATGTGAGATAGATATACATACATACATATATACATAATGGTGCATCCCCATTGTGTGTATTTAACTAATCAACTTTTCTGTGGCCTCCCCTGTCTGCTGTTTAGGAGCAGTAAGGCATGAAGGTTGAAGCCATGTGATAAACATGAGATTGGCTGGGTTTCTTTTATTGATTGTGACATAGTAATGGACTAGAAGCCAACAAATTATCAATCCACTGATATTATGTAAAGATTGCTGGTAAATCTGATATATATTTTTGACTGAAAGGTTGGATTTTATCAATTAAGAAAGCATATATATATATATATATATAGGTGGGGACACTTAGTTTATGCTCCATCCAATTATTTGAGTTAGGGTTTGAAGTTTGGACTGATGGGAGCTAAGCACTTTTGTTTTCCCTGTTTGTCTCATTACTTTTTAAAAATCAGTTTTGGGATATATGCAGCTTTACACCATTGAGATCTTGTTAAAGAACATGACTTGAACAAAAATATAGAGAGAGGTTCTGTAGCTGAGGCATGTGTAGAGAGCAATAATGTGTAGTGGCTTCATGGCATACATATTACTTGGACTGGCCTGCATTTGTCAAAATCTATGGACCTGTTTATGGGCTTATTCTTGTACCTTATTTTGTTGTTCTAATGGTTTCTGGTTCAATACAGTTTTGCAATGCAGTGTCTACTATAAAGGTACATACTGGTCATGAAAGCTTTCACGCAGTTGTACAGAAATGTATAGCGTATTTAGTTGTGAGAAAAACTCTCCCTCAAATAAGAGATTGAGTGTTCGGCCCCACGTTTTTTTTTTCCAGGTTCGAAAACTCTTCCCCTCCTCTTTGAAGATTAAAAGGTTATACAAATAGGCAAAGACCCATTTCCATTTAAAAAAATGATATCGATTTTCATAATTTATCACTAATGAGACGTGGCATAATAAGCTTTCTTTTGCCGAAGAAAGAAACCCTCACTCAGATTTCCTTTTGGAAGCTAATTTTTTTTTTTCTTATATTATTCTTGGATTTCGTTTTGGAAGTTGCCAGCCGACAATCACACGACTTAGTTCTAAATTTTTACTTGAACACAATGCGTGTATATATATATTGAAGTTATGAAAAATTAACTAAGGAGAGAAGGATATGTAAATAATTTTTATGTGTTGGTCTAAAACTATGACTTCAAAATTTATGATTATGTTTATATCTCTTCTGCACAGTTAGAGTTTGGAATTATGAATGATTATTCAAAAAAAAAATTAAGTTATTATTTTGTGCTTGTAATTACCAAAAAGGAAAATTGCACGGAACAGAAGTGCTAAAAATTGCTTGTTCTAGTAGTACTCCAATATTTTCATCATCTATCACCACAATTTTGTTGACTCATATACTTAAAACATAAATATTTTTATTATTTATTTTTTCTTCTTCTTGGTGTTTTATTTATTTATTTATTTTATTTTATTTTTTATTTTTAAGTTTTTACCAAAGAGAAATCTAATGGAAGAGGACACATTTCTTATATGCGACAAACGACGAATTGATAAAACAACAGAGTATTCTTTAATCTAAATTTGATTATTTTAAGAGAATTTTATAATATATATCAAATGCATTTAAATTAAATTTCATTTTAAAATGCCATATTCCAAATAATATTTTTATTTTTATTTATTTATTTTTTGTCATTCATTTCGTTACAAACAAAAAGAAGTTGGATAAAATTTTAAAGTAACATTTAACTCCATTTGTTTGGAAGTAAAATATTTTTTAAAAATATTTTTTTATTTTTTAATATTTAATTATAGTAAAATATTTACAAAAAAAAAATATATTAATAAATTATTTTGTATGTATCGCACAGTGAATTTGACTTTAATCTCTCACGTAAACTTTTACCAAACAAAAGTAAAAAAGTATATATATATATTTTACGAAAAAAAAAAAAAAAAAAAAAGAAGCTGAGCCTAAAAATAAAAAAATCTGTAGAGAGTTTCTCAACCTAATTGGTATAATATCGTCCAACGACAATCTACCATTCAACGCACCAAAACGTGAGTAGCCGAGGGTGAGTGTGGACTCTTGGAAGCTCGATAATTCAGATAGTGTAACTGCCAACTTTCTTTCTCTACTCACCATTTCCAATTGCCTTATCATCTCTTCAGTTTCTCTCTCTAGAGCTCACTGGAGGAGACATCTACCACGGAGGCGGCGGCGGGGACCAGCGCGCCGTTGCTCCAACCGCGGCAGGCCACTACCGGAGTGGCGGTGACGCAGCCAACGACGCTGGCGCTGCTGCTCGGGCGGGCCACCGGCCGTCGGGGTTCGTCGATGCTGGTCCGCGAGACGGCGGCGCGTGAGCTTGAGGAGCGACGCGTCGACTGGGGTTACTCGAGGCCGGTGGTGGCTTTGGACATGATGTGGAATTTGGCGTTTGTGATTATATCTGTGGTGATGTTGATTTGCACTACGAATGAACGGCCAAATGTGCCGATTAGGGTTTGGATCTGCGGCTACGCGCTCCAGTGTTCGATGCATGTGGTTTTGGTTTGGTTAGAGCACAAGAGGAGGAACCCAAGACGAGTTCGGGGTGTTGAGACAGCCCGGTCCGAATTGAATTCGGATGAAAATGTTAGCGAGGATGAAGATGGGGCTTCAAGAAATTTGGGAATTGCAAGGTCGAGGTGAGCTGAATTGAACTTGAATTTAGCTTTAGTTTTAAGTACTTACATTTGATTTCGTTTAATTTGTTGTGCTTCGGTTGCAATTTAAGTTTGTTTTTTTAAAATGTGGATACTTTGCAGTGGTTTTTGGGCGATTCTGTTCATTTTGTTCAAATTGGTATATTCAATTGGATATCATTAAAAACGAGGACACTAGGCTTGTTATGTGAATTTAAATCAACCTAATTAGTAGATCAATTTAAATCAAATTAAACTCAGCAAGTATACGAATCATATGTAGACATTGTTTGTATTACGAGATAGTTCCCACGGGGTTGCTTAGGACAACCTAATTCTAAAATTATTAGGTAACTAATTTAACCAAAAATTGAGTGATTCAAGCTAAAAGAACAATAAAATTAATAAAAAAGACCATGGAAATAAGTACCCAGGCTTGGATTCCACCACTAATCATATTAATTCTAATTTTAATTGCAAATTTACCAAATGTTCTTTTAAATTCATAGATTGTCCATCCTTGGTTAGGCATAGATTCAATTAAATATTTAATATCTTGGTCATGAATCATAAGTAATTAATTGTACGAAAACACATTTATTTATTATATTGGTGATGAATCAAGTAATTAATTGAAGGAAAACACATAAATTATAACTATTCATCAATGGGTAGGCATAAATTGTCATAATCAGTGTTATTAAAGGCTCAAGGCGTACCAAGACGCTAGAGGTCCTTTGGAGCCTAGGCGTGAGCCGCACGCCTTAGTGAAGTGAGGCGCACAATTGAAATTTGAATTATCATAATAGCATTCATATCTCACAAGTCATATCAATATTCTAAAAATTAATATCAAATATAAAAAAGTAAATCCATAAACTATATAAGCATTCAAGAACAATAAAACAGAGCACAAATTTATTTTCTTGAAAGACAAAACAGAGTACAAAAACAAATATATCTATTAAAAAAATATTAATAAGAAAAGAAAAAAAAACAGAGACAAAAAAAAAAAAAAAAACGCAGAGACAAAAGAAGTAGATGAAGAGAGGAGTAGATGAGAAAAAAGAGAAAATGTTAAAGAAGGAAAATGAGAAAAAAAATAGAGCCCAAATAAAAAGATAGAGAGAAGAGAATTAGACGGAGAGAAAGAAATGAACAACGATGAGAAAAGAGGATTAGAGGAGAAAAGAGGATAGAGAAGTAGAAAGAATTGACATGGCTTCGTGGTTTGTCTCTGGCATCTCTGCCACTAGGGCTTCGTGGTTCGTCTCACAATTTCACTCTCTCTATGTTCGGTCTTGGACTTTCTTATTTGTTTTTGAACAAAAGATCCTTCTCTCATATGCTTAGGCTTTCTAATTTGTTTATTAAGTTGCCAAAAGTACATTTTTTGGCTTAATAGATAGAATAATCATTTAAAAAAAGAAAGCAAGGCGCGCCTGACAAATTGGCCGAGGCGATATCGAGGTGCATGCCTAGTAAACATCAGTGAGCCTGGGATGACAACAGGCGCTAGACCTACGCCTTGAGCCTAGGCGCACCTTTAACAACACTGGTCATAATTTATTATCTTTTTCTCAAATAGCCTTATGAAGATTACAAGTTCATGGTCAGACACAAGTAACCTTTATGCTAGACTCCACATACAATGAATTTTAGTCTATGGTGAAGCACATAAAATTAATTGTATTGAAACACGCATTTAAAGATAGAGTGAGATTTTATTTATCAAATATAAACATCAAACAAATTCAACAATTGAAAACAAAGAGTTACAAGACTAGGGCCTCCTTTCAGCGTTGGCTACTAGATTAGAAACCTATGAATAATAAAATAACAACTACCAAACCTGTTTCGTATTTTCTCTGCCAGTTGCACAAGCCTCCCAGCTTTGTTCCTTAGCCACAGATCAATTTCTCTTTATTTATTCTCTGTATTTTTCTCTCTGCTGCTCATCTATCTCTTATATAGAGATCCCTTGGGGTTTTCATCTAGAAGAAGTAACTAGAAAATCGTAGAAATGGAAATCTGCCAAAATCTTCTTTCCATATTTGTGTTGACTTGTAACCCAATTTTGACCTACTATACATGCTTTTCGCAAAATTATTGTGAAATACAAAAATGACGGGCTTTAAGTCTTGTTTTCACAGCCGCTGGGTTTGCGACATTCGATATCCTAGTCAAAATTATGACCAATTTCCTGAGACAGTTTCAAAACTTTGCTTCTAGGTTTCTTTCCAAGATAGAATATGGAAATTGCCTTGCTTCAATATAAATTCCTAAATGACTTTACTAGCCAAAAAATCTTCTAGAAAACTTTTAGAATTCTCTACAAATCCCTGGATTCTCTTGGACGCTTGATTTCCACACGATAAGCTAACTGATTGTGCAAATAGAGACAATTTTCGCAAAATTCACCAATAACCTAAAAAGACACAAAAGCACATTTATTAAATAAAATAATCTAAAATAAGCTACTAACAAATATAATTTCGGAGATCAGTTGTGTACAAATTATGCACTTATCAGCTTGAAATTTATGGTTTTACAGTCTTGGATTTATTCAGAGATTTCTATGTAGATGTGAAATTTAAAGGCATAACTACATAATCAGACTGAGGGGAGAGAGTATCATTAGGACTTTATCACCTATCTTTTGGCGGCAGCATGGCAGCAGGATCATTGGTAGTAAATGAGTTAGATCATAATGAAGATGTTGAAGCCTAAGGAAATCTATCAAAATGTATAGAAGATTGATTGACTAGGTTGGGCCTAGGAGGATGAGGTTTTAAGACTGGGGGGGAGTGAGGTACTTTGCAATTTCTCATTTCATATATTCTTTCTTTCTAGTGACGTGAAGACCTTTTAATGTACAAATTTCTTTGATGTAATAAATGTTTTGATATAGTTTAAATACGCAATGTTATCAGGGAGATTCCTTGCGAAATGGAAAGTTCTGAAACCCGAGAGATTATTTGGAAAATAATCCACTGCCTTCAGTGATGTGATCAATGCTTACCTGGATTAGAAACCTCATGGGAGGGGGGTGGGGGGGTTCCTGCTTGAGTGGGGGAGGATATAACAGGTTGCTTGCCAAGCACGCTATCGCCTCATCGCAGTGCTGCCTGCAACAAAAATGCAGTGCCCAAGCTTGGTGCACATTGGCATTTTTCTAGGTAGTCAATTGCATTCTTGTAAGCAGTTTTCTTATGTTATGACTACTTGGATAGTATTGATGTTGATGTTCCTCGTAAACTTCAATGGGCTCTAGTTTTGCATATACAAGGGACATTCGGTCAGGTAGTGAGGAGACTTTAATAGTACCTTTGACGTTGTTACTTTAATTTGGTTTGGTTTAGTGCCAATAGCCTTGTTCCATCATCATATGTTTGCTATTGATAAAATGAATATTGTGCCACTTTTGTGTAGTTTGTTGGTTGGTAATTTGCATGAATGTGCTTTTGAGGTAAACCAGCATAAATGGACTTGCTTGCTAAGTTCTTGTCAAGTGCCACACATGTCCTTTTGGTGCCTGTGAGTGAAGATTGTGACACATAGCTCGGACTTGTTAGTCTAGCTGAGATTTTTGGAACAAATTTTAAAACATTACCCTTCCTTGAGTAACCAAAGACTTGGAAGATGCCAATCTCTGGTCTCTTTCACTTCAAAGTTTGAGTTTGAGTTTGGGACCCAAGGGATAAAAACTTCGTTATATTTTGTTGGTGAACCATAACCTCAATTAGTAGCAGCGGCACCTCACTCGGCTCCTCAGCCTCTAGACTGGTGGAAAAGATGATTGTTGGGCTTTAAATCATCTCTAATGGAATACCGAGCTTTTTCAATGTTCAGGTGCTACTGTTACCTGATTAGGCACTCTCTTCTTATAATGTGCCCTCAACACAGTTGTTACTATTGCCATCATGGAGTTAAATTCCTTCTTAAGGTGCAAAATCATTGGTACAATGATCACACACATGATTATTGGAAAAAGACACTCCTTAACACAACCTTTTTGTATACTGTGACAACTGACGAGTGACCACTCTCTAAATCCAATTTAAAACCTTCTGTAAATGTCTATTGTTAACCAAGTTTGATGTTAGTTTTGCTTTTACTTTATTTCCTGTGTTACTTGCAGTTTCCTGAGTGACAATATATGTTGTTGTGTTCTTTAGTATCCTTGACCACTTCCTTATTTAATGGATGGTTCAGAGCCCCTAAACGTTGTGACTATTTGAATACGGTGGCATCATTTATCTGGTGGATGGTTGGTTTCTACTGGATAGTCTCTGGTGGTAAAATTCTTCTGCAAGGTGCCCCACATCTATACTGGTATGTCTTAAACGCCTGATTTCGTTATCCTTTTATTTATGTATACGTGTGACCAAGCAGACTGCTTATGGTTGTTCAAGTAATTTAGTGTGGGAATATGTTTCTGTCAAAAATCTGTCAACTGTTTACTAGTTTGTGCAATGAAAAAATATACTTGGGCAAAATGCATCAGATCTCTTAGAAAGATGAAAAATTCCCTAATCCTGCATGACAGATTCATCATCCAGCCTTTATACCAAAAAAAGAAAAGAAAAGCTGATACTAATATGGCCTTTGCAAACTGGTTACGTTTTGAAATTATTTGCCAATTTAGCTTGCTATTTATAATAATAATAATAAAAACAATTACTTCACCATTACAAAAATAAGAATTTAATATATTAAAAATGAAAGAATTTCCTAACAAATAGATTTCTCTCTCCAAATATGTACCTCATGGTCCCATCTTCAATCTTCCTTTCACTTGCAAACACTCACCTGTTCTCTCTATTCCTCCCATTCTCTGGGAGCTTCCAGCCACTAAGGGGCAAGGAAGCATAAAATGTTAGCTTCTCCCCAAGAGCAAGTTTAGAACTAAAATAAATCAGTTGAAGTCGATAGAGAAAGCTTACGAGTCGCATATGGAAGACATCAAGGGACAAAATCTTGTGTTGTGTTGCAAAGAAATCCGCCTAAGGTTTCTACCAGTTTGATTCTATTGGATCACTGGATCTAGCAATCTGATGGTTTTGGTGATGTGATTTCTTGAGGGAAAAAAAAAAAAAAAAATTCACCTGATATGTTAAAGGTAAACGATTATATGGGAAAATTATGGCATATCTAAAGCTCAATGGACTTCATTAAGTTTTTCCTTATTTATACTTAACGGTTAACACATAATTCCAAAGGTAATAACAGTTGATCAATTGCTCATATTGTAAGTGTTAAGTAGGTCTGGATCGAGACCTGGATGCTTACCTTATTATTAGTAATAACAGTTGATCAATTGCTCCTGTTGTAACTTTCCACCTGGAATGAACAAAGCATAAGGCTGAAACCACAGGAATATGTTGAAATTTGAAGCAAAAAACATACACTTGATGTGCTATGTTTTCCTTCTCCAGTGGTACATTCTGGTTGGTTCTAGTCTGTTCAGAATGGATTTTGTATTCAATCAAATAAATACAGTAGTCAGTAGAAGAGTTCTTCAACCAGAATTCAATTGAAAATTCACACATTAGATATTAAAAGCCACCAATTGGAACTATAAAAATAATGAACTCTACAGTTAATTATTACTGTTTATGTTATAATTTCAAATTATTACTGTTTATGTTATCATTTCTTCCTTACAGGGAAGTAGGCTTTCTTTTCTTCTTATTGCACCTCCCCCCACTCTGCACCACATTACTCAAAAAAAACGATGTAGAGAAGGAGATAAAATTAAAGGAAATAAGCATCTATGATTTTATTCATTAATTGCTATGAGCTTTAAAGTCTGAGTAATTTTTTTTTCCCCTGAATAAAGTATGAGTAATTTTTTTTTTCATAGTTGGTACTCACACACGCATGCCTCCACTGAGACTTGAACCCTTGACCTCCCTTTGGGAAGTAAGGGCCTGATACCGCTAGGCCACCGACCTGTTGGTAGTAATTTCATTATATTAACATGAGGATCAAGATAATAGAGAGAATAATGGCCATAAAATTACAGTATGATAGGTTAAAAGGAGGAGTGCTTTTGGTATATTGTGTGATCAATGTAAACAACTACAATTGAAAGTTTATAAAATAGTTGTTAGACCAGGCTTACTTAATGGAAAGTGATTAAAAAAAAGCATATTCATAAAATAAACATGATTGACATGTGAATGTTAAGATGGATGTATGGTAAGACAGGAAAGGATAAAATTAGAAATAATTACATTTGTAAAATGGTTAAAGTAACACCCTTGGAGATTAATTGAGAGAAAATCACTAAAGAAAATTTTGCCTTGTTCAATGAAAAACAATAACTGTAACAGTGTGGAAGAGTGTTGTGGTTCACGTTAATGGTAACTTATTTTTGAAGGAGAAAATAAAAAAACATAGAATGGCGTAATAAAGGAAGATATGATCACGTGTGGTTTGATTGCAATTATACGTTAGATAGTGTAAAGTGGTTGAAATGTGATCTATGTAACCGATTTCATATAATTGGCCAATGTTCTGTAAAGTTGAGTTTCAACCTAATATTTGATTAGGCTGAGCATGTGACTGCATTGACTGTTAATTAGCAAGCTTTCTCTATGATTTTATTTTATTTTATTTTATTTATATATATATTTTTTCTCTCTCTCTCTACGATTTCAATGATAACATTGTTGTTCCAATTGTCCAAGGCTTCATAAGTGAGAACAAATTTTTAGAAGCTGAGGACATCTTTGCTTCATACTAATCATTAGCTCAGTTGACCCATGAATTCTTGTATGGTTGGTGATAAATGTATATGTTTTTCGAATCAAAGCATGAAATATTGGTTGCAGAGGGAGTCTCCAAGGTTCTCTGATTATGAAGTGTTACAGGTTGGCTGTGATATTCCTGGCATTCGATGTGTTCTTTGCCATTTTCTGCGTTGTTTTGGCATGCTTGATAGGAATTGCTCTGTGTTGCTGCTTGCCTTGCATTATTGCAATTCTTTATGCAGTTATTGGCCAGGTATGACAAAGAACAATTAACTGTGATAATCACAAGGATCTTGAATGATGGCAGACTGTTTAATAGCTTATATTTTGTCATTTCTGGTGTGAATAAACAGGAAGGTGAATAGTTTATATTTTGTCATTTCTGGTGTGAATAAACAGGAAGGTGCATCAGAGGCAGATCTCTGTATGCTTCCAAAATACAGATTTCAAATTTCTAACAATGAGGAAAAGCCTAGTGTTGGAGCAGGTAGAATGGTTCCTATCGAACTGAGCAGTGCATACCTGGCTTATGAACGGATTCTTTTACCGGAGGATGCAGTAAGTTATTGACTTACCATAGAAATCCTTTGTTTTAACTTCACGAGGGACAGGACTTATTTTTGTGGAATTTCAATATATTTTCATTTTTTATTTTATTAGATACTCTTACCTTTTTACCAAGTCAAAATATTTCACCAAAAAGGGGCAATCTTTGAATATACAAATATATAGCTATACACCAGAACAAAGAACCTAACATATTGTCTAGAAATTGAAAGAAGTATCAAAAGAGGAATTGCATCTCCAATTACCCATCCTTTCAAGAGACTGAAATAATTATACTTTAACTTGAAAAAAGGTTCTTCCTAACCTTCAAATGACCCGATAGCTTGAAGTGAACATGACCAGCACGTACTACAGGAGATGGGGAAAAGACAAATAGAATTATGGATTTTTGCAGTTAGGGTTTACTTATTTTTTTAATTATTATTTTGGTAATGTTTTTAGGGATATTTTTGTAATTTAATATTTTTGGGTTTTATTTTTGATAGTAATAGTCTGATTAGGGTTCTATTTTGATGCTTTTAGATATGTTGGTTGTGACATTGAGAAAACATTTTTGATGAGTATTGATTACACTTCCCCTCAATTTCATCTTCTTCTCCCTTCTCTTCTCTCTCCCATCCTGCATCAATTTTGGTTTCAGAGCATACTCGTCCTGCCTCACATATATACCACATTAGGCAGAGGGGAGCCATATCCTCCTGTAGCTCCTCTATATAGAAAATACTGCAGTCACGATCTAGGGAAGATCCAATCCACTTCAAAAAGCATCAATAGCAGGGCCCTAATTTGCCTGGTCACCCAACAATGCACCAATAGATGGTCTGTTGAATATGCCGCCTCCTTATGCATATAATACTCATTAGAGATGATTCATTGACTGTTGGCTGTGAGATCTTTATTTAGTAGTATGTTCATTTTAGAGATTCAGTCAGTCATTGTCTCTTGGGATTGGAGAAAACAGAAGTTTTCTAGCATCTGGAGCAAGTGCATAAGCTCTCTCTCACACACACACAGTTAGAGCAGCTGCATGAATTTCATGGCTTCTAGGTTGATGCCAAGCAAATTGGTACTGTGCTTGTGATAAAGTGCTGGCAGAAACAGTTGTGCTTGCAAAAAGAATGGTGCTTGAAAGTACAACAATACTGTAATCTATTGCTTTTCAAAAATAACAATTAGTTATAAATCCAACAGTATTATTATAAATGGTGACTGCTCAACACCATTTTAGTATTTTCCATTTTTCTGTTTATCTGTAGCTTGAGAATGATTATTATTATTTTTTCCTTGGTAGGAAAATCACACACAACCATTTGTTCCATTGCGACCTCGAACCCTCAAACTTCCATTTGGAAGGAGGAGATACCACTTGGGTTAAACCTTTCATTGCACCTTGAGAATTTTGGTCTGATCTTTCTCCTTTGTTTTTCCTAGGAATGCTCTATATGTCTCTGTCAATATGAAGATGGAGAAGAACTTCATGCTCTACCCTGCAACCATCATTTTCATTCTACATGCATTGCAAAGTGGCTTAAGATGAATGCGACATGTCCCCTTTGCAAGTACAACATCCTCAAGGGAATTGAACGGGTTTGAAAGAAAGTAAGAACTCACAAGGTCGCTGGTTCATTTGTACACTTGTGTGGAATGTATAGAAGAAATCGAGAAAAACTTAAATGCTCCTGGTGTAGTGATGACATGATATCACGCGCTAATTAAACGCGGAGACACAGGTAAGAATGCATCTACTTTGGTGGGTCATGTCACTGTGTCCGTGTTTAATTAGTGCGTGATACCATGTCATCACTACACCAGGAGCATTTAAGTTTTTCTCGAGTAAATCAAGGCAGGAAACGCAACGATTAAGATTCAGCGTTCTTTTAATTGAGCTTCACCTTTGTGTTGTTTTGGGTTTTGGAATTATCTACGATTGCTCTTGCCTCCGTATGAGTCGCTTCATGCATCAAGGTGCCAAGACGAGCGAGCAATTTCCAGCCCTTGTGTGTTTGGCTTTACTATGTTGCAATTGATTAGAAGAAAAGGTGACTCAACAGATATATATGTACATGTGTATATATACCGTAGTAGCAGTAGGGCATTGTAATTCTAGTGAAAAATCTGGTTGGATTATGTGGATGTACATTCTCTTATATTGCTTTCTGAGTCTTGTGTGAAATACAATATTAATACTGATATCTTTCATCCATGCTAGGGGTGCACAAAAGAACCGTGGAACCGTGTGGAACCGTGAGAACCGGTGAAAAAAAAGCATGAAAAACAATAAAACTTACTTTTTAAAAAAAAATTTGCCCTAAATCTCTCTCTGTCCTTGTCTCCTCTCAAATTCTCAATCTCTCTTCGTTCTGGAAAAAAAAAAAAAATTCTCAATCTCTCTTCTAAACAGACGAACCCTAAGCTAACGCTTGCCTCCTCTGACCTTTCATCGCCCTCGCATGAGTTGCCTCCACTCATCTCCTCAGTCCTCATCGCCCTCGCCTCCTCTCAAGTCTCATCTCAAGCTTCCTCGTCGATTCAGTCCTCATCGCCCTTGCCATCTTAGATTTCATCATTAATCATCTCCGATCTCAGATTACTCGATAAGTCCGTAATTGATCTGTCACATATGTTGGTTTCTAAATTATTATTTCTATCTATTGGTTTCTAAATTATTATTTCTATCTATTCCTTTTTAATATCACTCCCATCTTAGATTTCTCATCAGTCATTCATCTTCACTTCCATCTCAGATTTCTCATTCATCTTCACTCCCATTTCAGATTTCTGAGTCAAGTGACTCCTCCAAACTTCTCAGACAGCAACACGGTCACACGGTTTCTCCGATCTACACCCATGCACTATCTTAGATTTTCTGTATTTATTTATATTTATATTTTTGATATTGTCTTCTTAAAATCTGTTAAGTGTTAAGTAATGGAAGTCAGGGAACATTTCAATGTTAAAGTGTTGTATTTTGTTAAGTGTTGTATACGGGGAACATTTATGTAACAAAAAAACGAAACAATTAACGGTTCTCATGGAATCGAATTGGGTTCCGGTTTGGTTCCATACTATATGGTTCCGGTTCCAACCGGAACTGAAAGGAACCGAACCGTGCACCCTAATCCAATATGTGAATGATGCATTAATTTCATAATAAGCACTCAAATTGGTTTGATGAGGATGCTTGTGTGAGTGAAAAAACAAAGAAAGGTTCAAACTTTTGTATGATTATGTCATCCCAGCCGTCCATTGTGTAGATCTAGAAGGTCTTCTCCTTGGTAAAGAGAAAACACCAATAATCTTGGGGCCTCTATTAGTCAAGTTTTGATTTGAAACCAGCTGAATTTTGTGTGAATGAAACCAGTAGTGGATTGTAGTATTCGTTGTGGATTCAATAGAAAAAAAAACCAATTACTTTTGACGCGGAAAGAGTGAAGTACATGCACGTAAAGTGCTTGCTTTAATGTCAGTCCCCAGCCAATTTATATTGACCTGTGCCAAGCCATCAATGGCAAGATCAAGAATTTCAAGGCTGCTTCTGTGACTCTTTCGGTGGGGGTGGCAGCTTTCAACATTTCGTTCACAAGAAGTATGCCAAAAAGTCCAGATAAAAGTTCTTTGCCCTTTTTTGTTTTTGGGTATCGCAAGAAAGAGGAGGTAATGGAATGGAAGAGAGACTACTTTTTTAGGATAAATTGCAGTAATACCTTTTGAGTTTTCGGTCAACGTTATTTAGCACTCTTGATTATTTAATTCAGTTAATTCACAATCTATCAAACATGTTAATTGATAAAAATAACCCTCACTCACCTTTTTTTAAAAAAATAATAATAAAAAAAGGAGGAGGAGGAGGAAAAAGAAAAAGAAGATTGGGTGTGTTTGTTTATGAATGTTGCGGTGGTAATGGTGGTCCTACATATTGGTGGTGAGGATAGAGAGAATGAAAAATGAAGGTTATTTTGGTCCTTTAAATTTTAGTTTATAGGGTTATATTGGTAATTTATACTTTTTATGTATTTATTGACCAAGTCAAAGGGTTAAATGGTTATTTTTTCGGGTGTCAAAGGTCTAAAGGGTGTGTATATAAACTTTTTAAATCTTAGAAGGTGTTAATGTAAACAAATGCATTGGCTAATCGCTGAATGGCGTTAAGGTATGACTGTAATATTCCCCTTTTCTATTAGGTTCTTTTCTTCTCGTGTGTAAGTAACTCTCCATCTTTTCAATTTTTTTATTTATTTTTATTTTATTTTATTTTTTTCTCTTATAAATGAGTTCAGAAAGCATCCTTCATTCCTTCCTCAAGATTACGTATTTAAAAAAATTAATAAAAATAAAACATTTACTTTGTATGTAAAAAAACATTCTTCTTCAAAAAATTTAATAAAAATTATATATTTACATACATGTAAACTAACCATTGATGCGGTAATAGTTATTCATAGAAGGGCATAAGATAGTGGATTGACCAAAATATCCCATACAAAATATTTCTATATATATAGTCAAGGATAAACGAATTACAACACCACGTGTCAATATGACAGTGGCTTCAACTATAGAGACAAAATAAAGCCTTGACTTTTGGTAGATTCCTCAATGTTTACTGGGAAGTATATATATATATATATATATATATATATATATATATGTATGTATGTATACACAATTAATAAATATTGTGTTTGCGAATGCTTATCCTTCAACAAGAATGTGACCATTTCAAGAAAAAAATAAAGAAAAAGAGAGTACGAACAAAAGATTTTCCGGATTTAATATCACTATCATAAGAACAGGGTCGCAGTCACAAAATTGAAATTTGTGTCCTGTAGTTGAGAATTTAAAGATCTTAATCACCTAAATCTAGATAGTTGATGTTAAATATAGTTTATAAAATTTGTAAATATAGTTTTCTTGAGCAAAAGAAACCGTAAATGGCACACAATACAACTTTTTCTCCGAAAAAACAGAGAGAGAAAAAGGAAGATAAGGTTGGGACATGTCTTTTCAACCAAACATTTTAGATTAGACATTATATAAAAAGGCTACCTATTAAACAATTTAATTAGACATTAATCTTGTTTGAGCCTGATTAAAAGACTATTTAATACGAACCCATTAAAAAAAAAAAAAAAAAAACAATTATAAGTTTAATAAAAGTGGTCAAGACAAAAAATAATTAAACAAAAGGTTTTATTGAAATAATAACCATCAAGGTTTGTGAGTTGTGGGTGTACCTTTTATTTATTTATGTTAAAAGTGGAGGATTCAAAATTTTCAAAAGTAATATAGTTATTGGTCTAGAAAAAATTAGGTCTTTTGATTTGTAATTTTGAAAATAATTTTTAAGAATTTAGAAAATAAAAAATTATTTTCAAATAATTATAAAAGATGGTTCTTAACATTTTTATAACTGAATTTTCAGAAAATTGAACCAAATAGAAAGTCTTTATACAACTTTTTAATTTTGAGTTCTCTAAAAATATAAAAGTGTTTTCAGACTTACAATAACTATGTTATATTCATAAAAGTGTTTTTTCTTATTAAATCAACTTGGAGGATAAAAAGTGTTTATATATTATAAGGCCAATATATATATATATATATTCTTATTTTCTTTGGAATAGTTTGTGTGGAGAAAATAAGAGGGAGGGTTCACTCCTTTTTCTTTTAAAAATTAAATGTACTTCACTTTTTAAAAATAAGATAATATTAGTCTCTCCAATTCAATACTATGAATCTATTTATATTATGAAAAAAAAGAAGTAATTGCACTTTAAATAAATAAGTGCCACATCTAAATTTGGCTTTTATTTTTTTTTAAAATGTAATGTGTTTTAATAATAATAAAGTACTTCTAAATGATATAGATTATAGTTTATAAGTAGTTTGACAATATCTCATCTTCAAGGAAAAAGGAAAAGCAAAAGAAAAGAAAAGAAAAATGTAATGTGTTTTAATAATAATAAAGAAGTACTTTTAAATGATATAGATTATAGTTTATAAGTAGTTTGACAATATCTCACCAAGGAAAAAGGAAAAACAAAAAATAAAAGAAAAGAAAAGAAAGCGTCTTACCAATAACCAACTAAACAGAAGAAAAGAATCTATAAAGTAAACAAATTGAAAAATGTTTGGGTTATTTGAGTCATTTCAATACTCAACCCCCTCGGTGCCAAGTTCTTTTAATCAACTCGAATGGTTGAGCACACGGTGGTGAATGCAATCTAACCGTTAAACCCCGCGACGGCGACACTCCGCAAACAAGTCTGATCACAAAACCCAACCTAACACCCACAAAATTTCTACCGAGAAAATTTTATTTTTTCGTCAATTCATCAGATATTCAAGCTTACAAGTTCAACTAGATCCATTGTTTCTTAGGACAAATGTGAAAACTTGTATTTATCGATAAATTTATGAACATGTATATATCCATTACAGATGTTCCGGTTTGAGCTAGAAAAGACCAGAAAGCGACCCCTTTTGATATTTTATCGATTCAGAGAAATTTAGGGTTTGCTATGGCCGACGCTCTCTCCGTGATTCCTGCTTTCGTTCTTCGAAACCTCTCCGACAAGCTTTACGAGAAGCGGAAGAATGCAGCCCTTGAGGTGTTTATTTCTCTCACTATAAATTTCCCTCTCTACTAACTTCTAAGTTTTAGATTGAATTTTCAGCTGTGTCTTGAGTGTTATATGTGTGTATATGTACATGTTTGAATGAATTATGGATCTTGATATTGGACAAGTGCATTACAGATTGAAGGAATCGTGAAGCAGCTATCGGCGGCCGGAGATCACGATAAGATTATCGCTGTGGTCAATTTGTTAACTAATGAGTTCACGTACTCGCCGCAGTCGAATCACCGGAAGGTGAGTTGAGATGCCTTACTGTTTTGATAGTTTCATTATTGTTGATGTTATTGATGATGATTATGAAAAGGTGGGACCTTTTGAGTTGGATCTTCTATAATCTTTATGTTGATGTCTTGAATTTTGGTTGGTCTTGTTACACTTTTGTTTAGGGCGGATTGATAGGATTGGCTGCGGCAACTGTTGGTTTGAGTGCTGAAGCAGCACAGCATCTCGAGGTAGGGAATTGAATGCAAAATATGGAACTACTTGTTAGGTTTATGAAGTCGTCAAGTTTTAATTTTTAGCAGTTGCTTTAGACACTTTACATTTCTTAGTAGTAAAATCTTCAGCTTTGGTGATGGGTCAGTGGGGACGTGTGAGAATTTTGGTGCATTGTTTGAATAACATAAGCTAAGTGGAACCTTTTGTTTGTGCAACATGATCAGACTTCTGTACTAAAATCCAATACAAAGATTTACATGGACCCTACATCTCAAGAGCTAGCTCTTCATGAATGATGCACTGACATCATAATTATGAACATTGGTGTATATTGTCATGTAGTAGTTGCTTCTACAAGTGTAATCATGATAATCTATTTCAACAAGTGTAGAAAAAAAAAAAACTTTTGACGTTTGTTATATATCATTTCGAATTTGCTGATGTAGTTATGTAATTTTGTGTAGGGTTCTTCAAAATAAGAAAATAGATGACTCCTCTGTTTGCAAATAAGGAAGATAGTGTCAGAATTGAAGATGGAGTATAAAGTGGACTGTTAAAGATATAAGGAAAAAACTATAAGAGAAGAAAAGAAAGGATGGAAGACACAGATACAGGAATGAGAGAGAGAGAGAGAGAGAGAGAGAGTTTTATTTTTCTTTCAGTCTTAATTCATTAGTGGGGCCTAATTTCGTTTGACACCCATGAGGCTCCATAAAACGACTAGAGACCTCTTGAAACTTTTCCTATTGATTTGAGTAACAAATTAGGAATCAAATTCCTTCCTAGAATTCTTCAAGCTTTCCAAAATAAAAGAAAAAGGATACAGCAATAACAAATACGACTATATTAAAAACATAAATAAAAAGCTTCAGTCAATGAATTATAACTCCTAATATTAGTAAGACTACTGAATTAAGTCTAAGATCCATGTTTCCTTATCATGAATCCCAGGGTTTGCATAGCTAGTCTTTTGATCAAATGTCTGTAATACCAAGATAAACTTACCTCTTGCTTTGACCAGACTTTCCAACTACAGTGGTAGTTTCCTTGTGTCTTCAAACTTGAGGTGATCTTCCTTGAATTTTTAATGTGGTGTCATCAATGTTAATTTGTTCTCAGGGAGAATAAAATGCAATAATGGTGTAGAATTCTAGATAACAAACTGTTTCTCTTCCTGCAAATTTCGTGCTAAAAAAGAGTAACTCCTAATTTTCTCCCATGGCTGACAAGCTCATGAATCCCCACCCCCTCCCTCTTGGCTGATAATCTCATGAATCCCTAAGAAAGACTTTGATATCAATTTGATGGTTTCTTATAAGATTCTTCAAAATAAGGAATAGTTATTTATTTGGAAACAAGGAAGAAAGAGAATTGAAGGAGGAGGGATATTATAGAGAGTACTATAGAGAGGGAAAGTAAATCTTTCCTATGAGACTTGAGACTTTTGGATTTTGCAGAAAATTTCGATTTTCGGTTTCTTTATAGGGATATATATATTTTCAGTATATGCCGTGTGTAAATTGTTATGCCTCTTCAATCTTTAATGATATCCTTTTACTTATAAAAAATATGTGTGATATATATACAGACAAGCACATCGAGAGGGAAATAAGAGTTTAAATGATATAAAAAAAGTAAAAAATGTGGCTTTGTACAATTTCTTTTTTCCTCCTGGGTTGGGTGATCAACTCAGCTTGCCACGATGTTGCCATATATTCTCATTATAGTTGAGATATGGTCTACGTAACTATTTTAGTATTTCAGAGCTGTTAAATTGTTCGTACTAACTCTTTGGTCCCTTCTGCACTGATAAAGAGCTACCATCTTTTATGGTATTTAAAGTTGTTAAACCATTCCCTTGACTGGAGTGCCAATGCATGTTCCAGGTTCTTATATATGATGTTCTTTTTCTTTTTTCGTTTCTGAATATATTTATACAGTTTATTTTTTGCTGAAAATTTTCCTTTTTTTAATTGTGTTGCATATTTATTGAAAACATTTCCCCTATGTGATGCAATCTGCCAGCGAATTGTTCCGCCTGTGATTCATTCTTTCTCTGACCAAGATAGCAGAGTTCGTTACTATGCTTGTGAAGCTCTATATAACATTGCAAAGGTGAGAATGGATTGGGGACTTATATTATATGACTCATTTTCATATATATTATAATAAAAACTCTCTCTATTTTTTTCCCTTTGTAGGTTGTGAGAGGAGACTTTATTGTGTTTTTCAATCAGATATTTGACGCCTTGTGTAAGCTTTCAGCAGATTCTGATGCCAATGTACAAAGTGCTGCTCATCTTTTAGATAGACTTGTAAAGGTGAAAATACTTTTCCTCCCTCTATGCTCTTGTTCCTATTATATTCTAATAATATAAAAATTAATATAATGGTTTAATTATTGGAAACAGGACATTGTTACAGACTGTGATCAGTTCAGGTGCTCCATTATTTCATTCTTGTTCCAGATCTCTGTTATGGTATCAGAATTAAAAAAGATAATCAAAAGTGTTCTTTTTTTTTTTTTTTCTTGTATAATATTTTTCATGGTTTTTTTCTCAGCATTGAAGAATTTATACCATTGCTGAGAGAGCGTATGAATGTTCTTAATCCATATGTCCGCCAGTTTTTGGTAGGATGGATCACTGTATTAGACAGTGTTCCAGAAATTGATATGCTGGGTTTTCTTCCTGATTTCCTTGATGGTAACTATACGTAATTTGAAAAAAGTTCATACTCTATTATGTGGTTGAATTTCTTTTGTGGAAACTACATATGAACTGACATAATGTGATCTAATTTCAGGTTTGTTTAATATGTTAAGTGATTCTAGCCATGAAATTCGGCAACAAGCTGATTCAGCGCTTTCAGAGTTTCTTCAAGAGATCAAGAACTCCCCAGTAAGACTTCTGCTGATATGGAATGTGCAAAATTTCTTGTATCCATAGCAATATGCTGCCTGGACTCTCGTTTGTTAGGAATAACATTTTTTTGCTATCTTTCAAGGAATTTGATGATGGATATGTGACTTATATGTCTAAGCTTATGGCTTGGACTTTGAATTTTGAACACAAAATATCATTATTCTTTAACATGGATCTGAAGTATCTTAACAACAAAACAAATTTTATTGTTCATTTGTAATTTTCTGACTCTACCAGTGCTACTATTGAAGTCTGTAGATTATGGTCGAATGGCAGAAATACTGGTACAGAGGGCAGCTTCTCCGGATGAATTTACTCGGTTGACTGCTATCACTTGGGTAAGGTCATTGATGTGTGAAATCACGAGCACATGAAGTTTTCTCTTCCAAATTGTTATTGGTGATAGTTTCTTGCTTGTCTTTACCTTTTGAATTATTGGTTCCCTTCTGGCCAATAGTTTTACATGGACAGTTTATGTTATGTTATTTATTTAGAATAGCTTTCTACTGGGGTTAGTTTCAGTGCATTATGTCTACTGTTTTGCAGATAAATGAATTTGTAAAACTTGGTGGGGATCAGCTTGTTCCTTATTATGCTGATATCCTGGGAGCCATTTTACCCTGCATATCTGATAAAGAAGAGAAAATAAGAGTTGTAAGTTGAGTTGCTATTTCTTCTTGGTCATCGTCACAGACCATCTCAGAATTGCAGTAATAATGCCTTTTAGTTTATATATGCATATTTTATTTTTTGTTAATAACTATCAGGTTGCTCGTGAAGCAAATGAAGAACTTCGTGCAATCAAGGCTGATCCAGGTGAAGGATTTGATGTAGGAGCAATCCTCTCTATTGCAAGGAGGTGTAGTTCTTGTAACCTGGGAAAAAAGATAGGCTTCATTGTTTCTGACATTTTGCAATCTTATGAATTGATAACTTTTTTGCCACTTAAGGAGTCACAGAAAAGGATGCATAAAACAGTTCTTTCTTTACTTTATTTTACAAATTGTTTTACAATATCTGCGCTGAAATTAATTGCTGGTTTTTCTTGTCAATTAGGCAGTTGGCTAGTGAATGGGAGCCCACTCGAATCGAAGCATTGCACTGGATTTTAGCTCTTTTAAACAGACATCGTTCTGCGGTAATCAGCGAATAATAGAATATTTATCTTTCTGATTATATGCACACTTTTCTGACATATTTCGCAATTGAGGAATCTAAATATGATTTCTACTTTCATTTTTCTTATAATTAGTCAACCGTTATGTTTATTATATATGTATTGCAGATTGGGGGGAGGCTGTTATTATGGGCATGATATATATATATTTGTGTATATTTGGTTTTCCTACCCCTCCTGTCATTTTCAGCCTATCTTGGGTCTGTGCATGCACTATTTTTTTTTGGGGGGGGGTTTGCATATTTAGAGGGAACATAATTATATAAGGGAAGAAGGAAAAACATTAAATTGAAATCTATTGCAAAGCTAGAAATTTTGATATGGAAGGATCCGAGGAACCCCAGCATTTACCCCCAAGTACTGCAAAAGACGGCACAAGTACTGGAAAAAGGCATTGACCCGCCAAATTACTGGTCAATGGAGATACTGCCATGACATAGGCGAGAATATCCACTAGTGTAGTAGGGCGTATGGAACGGGACATGAGGTGAACTTGTTGTGTCCTGGAAGTCAAATGGCATCTCTGTTTTAAGACAACTCAAGGTCTAAATGGTGAAGTAAAAACACCTCAAAAAACCTTTCAGATTCAGCCACCAAGCCACAAACCTCTAGATCCCAAGTGGACCATAACTGGTCCAGAGATTACACTGTAGTTGCATATGAGTTTGAGGAGTTTTCAGGGATCTTGCTTCCAACTTAAGTAAGCATAAGATGCGTCAGGATGCATTCGCGTTAATAGAGATCTCATTTTGGAGAGCCAATTGCATAGTTGGATCATGCTGCGTGGCAATATTACACTGTGCATCAGGGACTGCATGTGTAGATCATATAAGGCGGAAATATGACACCATGCAGCTGGAGATTGCATGACGTAAACTAATCCTAGAGACTAGTAGTTCAAACTTGAGATTGCACAGTTTAGGAGATATATCTTGTTGGTGGTGAGCTTTGTATGGAGAAACCTTGTTTTGGCAAATTTGTCAAGTGTTGAGGGCAAGTTACTGCCTGGATTGAGAGATCCTCATATATGTAGAACACTACTGAAGTTAAACATGTGTTGTGATCCCGAAGGATCACGCATTTGTGGAGATGTAAAGTGTGAGGAAAAGAATGGAAAATCATCCTCTTCAAGGTGTTGTCAGTTGTGTAGTGGTATTGTATGTGGCATGCGGATCTTCATGGTGGTGCCATGTGGCGAGGAGGGTGCTATTCAAGTTGCCATGTTGGTGACATGGCAAGTTGAAGATGTGCCATGAGAGTTGCCATGTGTTGGGAGTTGAGACACATTAATAGGTAGGGTCAGTTGTCCATGATGAACAAAATTTTGTTTTTTAATGATCCTACATCATAATATTTTGGCATGGGCTGTGTTGACAAATTTACATTGCATTGTGTTTGCCTATGCTTCATAGATCATGAGCTACACTCCAGGCGGGAGCTTGTATAAAACCTATAGAATGTACTTCATACACAAATCAACCTAGAAAGATTTGAAAGAAAGTGGTTGTGGTTGATATATTGATATGGTATTTCATATATGGAATTGGAAGTTCATTGGATACTGAAATATGATCAGTATGAAAATTGATATCATTTATTTTTCCCCAAGTCATTATGCTCTAGATTGGTTAATTTTAGTATGTTCAAATATGTAGTTCCTGGCAAATGTGGGTGTTTCAATTGCTGGTCTTTGTTTTATGTTTCTTGTGAATCCATATTTGTTGCTCATCACATATTTTAACGAGGCAAGGTCTCAGAATTCACATTTATACTTGAAACAGGTCTTGTCATTGTTGAACGATATTTTTGACACTCTTCTGAAGACACTATCAGATTCCTCCGATGAGGTAATCTTCTCTTCCTCATAATCCTTTATCACTTCTGATTGTTCTGTCAAGTTGCATTTTTATTGGTTTATTTCCATCTTGCTCATTATAAACATTTCAGTTGTTTTGTTGTTCCTTTTTATTTATTATTTTTTTTAATATTTATTTGGCAGTAAATTATTTGGTAGCCTTATTGTTCTTCATCTTCATCTTCTTCTTCTTTTCTTTTTGTTTCACCGCTGCCGCTGGCTGTTTATTTATTTTCTTTTATGGCTTATGGATTATCGTAGTAGCCACTAGAGTTCTAAGTCCATAAGCAACTCTAGTTAAGATGTCGACATACAACATCAATTCCAGTTTTATTTGCTTGTTACGAATCTGCATAAATACTGATGGCCTTTTTGTCAATGAATCATGTGAAAATAAGGTGAAGGTTTATTAATTATTATCAGTTTGTTTAGATTTTTATAAATTGATTAATGTTTTGCATTACCTTGCTTTCATACCATACAGAGGATAATTAATTCATACAAAGCTGTATTTTATTTAACAATGTAATTTATGGTGGTGGATTTTCTTTTTCCAGGTAGTGCTCCTGGTGCTTGAGGTGCATGCATGCATAGCAAAAGACCCTCAGCACTTTCACCAGCTTCTTGTTTTCTTAGTGCATAACTTCCGGGTTGATAACTCTCTCCTGGAGAAGTGAGTCCCCCCTTCTACTTTTTTTAAGCATTCATTTTATTTTTCTTATTCTGGATGTTTAATTGGTATATTTGGATTGTTCTGTTTCTGTGATCGATCATCTTTATTTAAAATGTATCTTATTTTTCTTTTTTCAGGCGTGGGGCTCTGATAATCCGCCGACTTTGTGTGCTTTTAGATGCTGAAAGAGTATACCGAGAACTCTCCACAATACTTGAGGCAGAAGCTGACCTGGATTTTGCATCGATTATGGTTCTGGTATAAACTTATTGGGACATTATAGGAAAAACAATTTCTGTATTCATTTTTATCCATAAGCCATTGCACTTTTACAGTTTTAACTCATTTTTGCATGTTTCTCGTTTCTGTTTCTGTTTCTGTTTCAGGCTTTGAATTTGATTTTGCTTACTTCTTCTGAGTTGTCTGAGCTTCGAGGTCTTCTGAAACAATCATTGGTTAATGCTGCTGGGGAAGACCTGTTTCTTTCTTTGTATGCTTCATGGTGCCATTCACCAATGGCAATAATAAGTCTTTGCTTATTAGCTCAGGCAAGACTCAGGCCAATTCCCCACCCCACCCCCCCAACACATACACACACCTCTCTCTAGTTTCTGAGTGAGTGAGTTTTATAGTACTTCGTGTTCATTTTCCCAATCCTTATAAGTTGTTTTATTGTGGTATTGCGTGACAGACTTACCAACATGCAAGTTCCGTCATTCAATCTTTGGTCGAGGAAGATATCAATGTCAAATTCTTAGTCCAGCTGGACAAATTGGTCCATCTCCTGGAGACTCCGATTTTCGCTTATCTTAGGTTGCAGGTGCTTTAACTTGCCTGTTTGTTCTACGCAGTCGAGCTTCAATTTTATATGCTTTATGTTTTCATCTTCTATTGTTTTTAAGATTAGTTGTCTATGGGAAGAGTTATACATTGTATCTTTATTTATTTATTTATTTATATGTTGATGAATAATTGCTACAGCTTCCAAAAAGTTATGCCTACTTGATGGAGATGCCAATATTTCCTTGTCTGCTGTTTTCACGTTCTGAACCTGTCAGAAGTTATGTTTGCTCAATACTCAAATGTTTATGCTTTTATTATGCGTGACATTTCCCTATTTGAACTATTTTGGGTTATTGGATATGTTAGTTCTATGTTCTTGAATGCTATGAGAAGTGGGGGTTGGTCCTTAAAATGGATATGATGACCCTGGTTCATAACTTGCCCCTGACAAATTCTACATGTAACTTGCCCAAGGTACTTTCATCTGTTGTCTTACTGAAGCCTTGGTCTTTTTTTTTTGCATATTGGAACTTGCAAACTTTGTTCGATCTGACGTAAAAGAAATGCATATAGGAGTCACTAACCAAGCTGCAATTTTTAAATAAAAAGTGATGATATACAAGTGGTTAGAGAATTCCATGGTGCATTATCAGAGTTGCAACTTCCATCTGCTAGAGACACTATAGGTGTGAAGTGGAGCTCAGCCTGTTATACTATATCTCTATAAGAATTACTCTGATAAAACTGTTTTCTCTCTGGGAAGCTTATGTAGGGTTCACAAGAATTAAAATAAAATACACCGTGGTTGAGGTTGATTGGAGATTGATTGTTAATTTCTTTTGGGCATGGTAGTCTTAATATATTTTATCCTATCAAGTGAGCAACCTACTTTATCTCACAAGCAGTTTTGATCTAACAAGATGACTGTTGGCACAAGGAAAGAGTATCTGGACGGTAACCATAAAATAGTGGAGAATAGCTATGATGTGTAAAAAGAAAAGAAAAACGAAAAAATAGGGTAAGGAACACCTGCATTGCATGTTCCCCCCCTGCTTTCATTTTAGAAACAAAGTCCTACATTTCCTCCACGCTCTCCTCTTTTATTTTTTTCCTCCAATAGTTTTGAAATCTCCCCGAGTCCCAAGTCCTAAGACCTAACTTGGCTTCCTTTCCTATCATTTCTCACTACGAATCTCAGGAGTGTAAGTGAAAATAAAATTTGACCATTAGTGTTTCATAATGGCTGTTATAATGGTTTTTGATTACATCCTCCTGGTCTATGGGTTCATTTGATTTGTGTTAAAAAACAGAAGCATGATTAGTAATAATAACTGTACCAAGTGAGACACCACATCCAACCACCTGAAAGAAGGGCACAAATGGAAACAAAAAGTACATGCAAGTATCCAAACAACTACCAAGTACTTTCTTTGCCTTTATAGTTTATATATCTTTTGTTTTTGCGTTATTTTCAATTACCAATTGCAATTTTCAACATGCCTTGGATTACAGAATAAAGGAGTTATTCAATTATGGATGCCGCAACAAAGTATTGAAGCAATGATAACTTCTTTTGTCTTGGCATGGAAACTTTGCTTGTCTATAGGCTATATGGATCCAGAGAAAAGACTTCCCATTAGAGTGCAGACCATTTGTGGCAGTGGTCCTCTGTTATTGCAACAACTGATTTTTTTTCCGGGAGTCTGGAGAGTTAGCTGATACTTAGCCTCGAGGAAAACATAATTTTTCCAAAAATGTTCCAATTTTTCAGTTGAATTTTTTCATGGCTTCAAACCATTTTGAGAAGCTGTCTGTCTACACTTCAGATTCACTTTCTGTTTGTTCGTAAATGGGGATTTTGGATGTACCAAACATGACTTTATCCTGCAAAGATTAAACACTTGTCCAGGCTATGATCATTTTGTTTTCACGGTTGTGTGTATATGGTGGGCAAAAGGGTGGTTGGTGGCTATGCCAATATGTTCATACTATCTGATTGACTGATTGATAATTATTCCGGTCTGCATTGAATTTTATATTTCTTCTCAATCTGGATTTGTATTGAGTAATTCAGCCATTTTGTGTTTCTTGCAGCTTCTTGAACCTGGGAGATATATATGGTTGTTAAAAGCCTTGTATGGTCTTCAGATGTTGCTTCCGCAGGTATATCTGGGTTCATTTTGTATTTCGGTCTGGTTAATAGATACTTTTATGTTACAATCAAGCTAGGGAGAAAAATGTCTCCTGGTTTAAAACATCATTTTAAAAATAAGACCTGTAATCTCTCAGTAATGGGATACCCTCATACTTGTCAGATGCAACTTATGGATTTCTATTTTTTTTTGATAAATTAGATGCAACTTATGGATTTCGAACTCTAAACAAGTTTGTGACCTGTTGAGGGGTTGATTTCTGGTGGTTATTCATTGTTGGGTTGAATTAGCAATGTGGTTAGCCGAGTATAAGTATCCGTATTAGACTCATGTTTCCAAATTAGTAAGGTTATGGTCGGCTACTTACTGAAAAGAAAAGGTTATGGTCAGCCAGTAATTACTTGTTTAATCAATTAATTAACAGTGATTAATAGCCACTGTTGGGATTTGTGTCTCAAATTGCTACTCTAATTATGTTTATATTTTAGAGTTGTATTCTATTGGGTAATTTCTTGTATGGTAAGTCTTGGCCTCTAAGAAATTGTAATCCTTGTCCAATAAGGAATTGGGTTTGGAATTCTATAAATAGATATATAGGCTTTGGGTTTGGGTTGAGACTTATGAGATTGAGAGAGATGTAGTCTCATGAGGGAGTTGATGGGTAGAGGTAGTATGCGAGTTGGTAGAGTAGGAAAAACACCGGTGACACTATTAGCGAAGAGATAGGCTTGTGGAGTGGTACATGGTGAAAAGACATGTATGTGGTGTTGGTTTTCTATTGTTGTAATATCTTTACGAATCACAATGGAATCTCTTCTCATCCATGGATGTAGCCCGAGTTTGGGTGAACCATGTAAATATCTTGTGTTTTATGTGTGATTGATTTGTTGGCTTTCATTAGATCTTTGTGTTCGCGCGCTTCCGTTGCCCCAACAAATTGGTATCAGAGCCAAAGGTGAAGCAGATGCGGGCTTCAGTTGTAAGTGGAGTCAATCGGTTTAGTTACATGGCATTGAGCTCGAGTAGTCAAGGTGGAGCCTTGGAGGTTTGACTGATCGAGGAACGTACAATGGGAACAATCAGAGTTTTGCAGGAGTATCGTCAAGATTGAAGCTCTGATCAATGCCATGAGAAGCGATGATTGGCCGGTTGAAATTTGAGCCAGGATGGAGATTGTTGGGATTTGTGTCTCAAATTCCTACTCTAATTATGTTTCTATTTTAGAGTTGTATTATGTTTGGTAATTTCTTGTATGGCAAGTCTTGGCCTCTAAGAAATTGTAATCCTTGTCCAACAAGGAATTGGGCTTGGAACTCTATAAATTGATACATAGGCTTTGGGTTTGGGTTGAGACTTATAAGATTAAAAGAGATGTAGTCTCATGAGGGAGTTGATGGGTATAGGTAGTATGCGGGTTGATGGAGTAGGAAAAATATCGGTGATACTGTTAGCGAGGAGATATGCTCGTGGAGTAGTACATGGTGAAAAGACATGTACGTGGTGTTGGTACTCTATTTTTGTAATATCTCTACGAATCATAGTGAAATCCCTTCTCATAAGTCTTAACCCAAACCCAAAGCCTATGTATCTATTTATAGAGTTCCAAATCTAATTGTTAGACAGGGATTACAATTTCTTAAAGGCCAAGACTTGCCATACAAGAAATTACGAAACGTAATACAACTCTAAAATAGAAACATAATTAGAGTCGAAATTTGAGACACAAGAAGTCTCAACATGTGCTACAACGGGTTTCAGTTATAGGTGGAGTCAATCAGCTTGGTTACATGGCATAGAGCTTAAGTAGTCAAGGTGGAGCCTTGAAGGTTTGATTGATCGAGCAACGTACAATGGGAACAATCAGAGTTTTGCAGGGTCGTCAATATTGAAGCTGCAAAAGAATTGTCTTGATCAATGCTGGGAAGCGATGATTGGCTGGATGAAATTTGAGCCAAGGTGGAGATTGTCAGGACTTGTGTCTCAAATTCCTACTCTAATTATGTTTATATTTTAGAGTTGTATCATGTTTGGTAATTTCTTGTATGGCAAGTCTTGGCCTCTAAGAAATTGTAATCCTTGTTCAACAAGGAATTGGGTTTGGAACTCTATAAATAGATACATAGGCTTTGGGTTTGGGTTGAGACTTATGAGATTGAGAGAGATGTAGTCTCATGAGTGAGTTGATAGGTAGAGTATGCGGGTTGGTAGAGTAGGAAAAACATCGGTGATACTATTAGTAAGGAGATAGGCTTGTGGAGTGGTACATGGTGAAATGACATGTACGTGGTGTTGGTACTCTATTGTTGTAATATCTCTACGAATCATAGTGGAATCTCTTCTTATCCATGGATGTAGCCCAAGTTTGGGTGAACCATGTAAATATCTTGTGTTTATGTGTGATTGATTTGTTGGCTTTCATTAGATCTTTGTCTTCGCGTGCTTCCGCTACCCCAACAAATTGGTATCAGAGCCAAAGGTGAAGGAGATCCAGAAAACACAAGAAGTCTCAACATGTGTTGCTGCGGGCTTCAGTTGTAGGTGGAGTCAATCGGCTTAGTTACATGGCATGGAGCTCAAGCAGTCAAGTGGAGCTTTAGAGGTTTGACTGATCGAGCAATATACAATGGGAACAATCAGAGTTTTGTAGGAGTATCGTTAAGATTGAAGCTGTATAAGAATTGTCCTGATCAATGCTATGGGAAGCGATAATTGGCCGGATGAAATTTGAGCCAAGGTGGAGATTGTTGAGATTTGTGTCTCAAATTCCTACTCTAATTATGTTTTTATTTTAGAGTTGTATTGTGTTTGGTAATTTCTTGTATGGCAAGTCTTGGCTTCTAAGAAATTGTAATCCTTGTCCAACAAGGAATTGGGTTTGGAACTCTATAAATAGATACATAGGCTTTGGGTTTGGGTTGAGACTTATGAGATTGACAGAGATGTAGTCTCATGAGGGAGTTGATGGATTGAGGTAGCATGCGGATTAGTAGGGTAGGAAAAGCACCGGTGACACTGTTAGCGAGGAGATAGGCTCGTGGAGTAATACATGGTGAAAAGACATGTACGTGGTGTTGGTACTTTGTTGTTGTAATATCTTTACGAATCATAGTTGAATCTCTTCTCATAAGTCTCAATCCAAACCCAAAGCCTATGTATCTATTTATAGAGTTCTAAACCCAATTCTTAGAGGCCAAGACTTGCTATACGAGAATTTCTTAAAGCCTACAATTTCTTAGAGGCCAAGACTTGCTATACGAGAAATTACGAAACAGAGTACAACTCTAAAATAGAAACATAATTAGAGTAGGAATTTAAGACATAAGAAGTCTCAACATGTGCTACAACGGGCTTCAGTTGTAGGTGGAGTCATCGGCTTGGTTACATGGCATGGAGCTTAAGTAGTCAAGGTGGAGCCTTGAAGTTTGACTGATCGAGCAACATACAATGGGAATAATCAGAGGTTTGCAGCAGTATTGTCAAGATTGAAGCTGCAATTGTCCTGATCAATTCTGGGAAACGATGATTGGCTGGATGAAATTTGAGCCAAGGTGAAGATTGTTGGGATTTGTGTCTCAAATTCCTACTCTAATTATGTTTCTATTTTAGAGTTATATTATGTTTGGTAATTTCTTGTATGGCAAGTTTTGACCTCTAAGAAATTGTAATCCTTATCCAACAAAGAATTGGGTTTAAAACTCTATAAATAGATACATAGGCTTTGGGTTTGGGTTGAGACTTATGAGATTGAGAGAGATGTAGTCTCATGAGAGAGTTGATGGGTAGAGGTAGTATGCGGGTTGGTAGAGTAAGAAAAACGCAGGTGATACTGCTAGTGAGGAGATAGGCTCGTGGAGTGGTACATGGTGAAAAGACATGTACGCGTGTTGGTACTCTATTGTTGTAATATCTCTACGAATCATAGTGAAATCTCTTCTCATGCATGGATGTAGCCCGAGTTTGGGTCAACCATGTAAATATCTTGTGTTTGTGTGTGATTGATTTGTTGGCTTTCATTGGATCTTTGTGTTTGCGCGCTTCTGCTGACCCAGAAGCCACCTTTACTGGGTTGACAGAGGAACCTTTCTTTGATACTTACAACTGCTTTTCATCTAGTTAAAGCATGAAATTTCAAATATTTCTTGCTAATTCAGTTCATTTTATTTTTGACCTTGTTCTGTATCTAGTACCTCAGTTCATGCTAATATTTGCACTACTGCTTTCAATCATCATGCGAAACATGTTAAATCAAACTAATACTTTTGAACTATAACCATTATGGGAGTACAAGTGATTGTTTTAAACCATAGGAATATTACCTTCCCAGTCTAAGTGTTTTGTTCTGATTGTTTGACCCTTCTACATGCAGCAATTGTGATTGGTGGGGTTTTAAAACTTTTTCCAATATAAGGAGCTGTTAACACTTAACAGTGTTGAATATGCCAGTGAGTTTAAGAGGGCTTGAAGATTTCTTTTTTTATTTTCTAATAAGAAAACTAGGCAGTGAGGTATTAGGAATCATTGAAATTGAGTTGTTCGGATGAAATTGTTTGCAAATGGATCCAATTGATCCATTACTTTGAGCTTTACCTTTGTAGTGCTTCTATATAGAGGGAGTCAAAAGGAAAGAAGAGGAAAGGAAAAAGAAGAATTGCCTATCTCGTGTTTGGTTTGAAATGAGAGGAAAGAGAAGAGAAGGAAAGGAATGAGGGGTCAGTGTCTTTACTATCATTTCATAAGTGGAGATTTGGAAGGAAAGAACGAGGGAGTTGGTGTTCATCCGTTGGTCCATATATCTTATGAAAAGAGATTCCTGTTCTGTTTTTTTCTGATTACGTTATAAAACATTTCTTTCTTTTTTTAGTCTCCACTATTTTTCATAAATAATGATGAGTTACCACTATTTTTTCCTTTATTCTCCACCCCTTGTTAGTCAAACTTGACAAAGGCTTAACACTGTTATTTCCTTCTTATATTATAGCTCTGTCATTCTGTTTCCTTTCTCTGTTGGTTATCCAAACACACTGTTGGAGTTCTTTAAAGATTTGGAGCGTACCAGTTTCTTTAATTTCTAGGATAGTATTTTTCTTTGATTTTGGGGCTTTTGTCCTGTATATCCTCCTTGCATATGGGCTCTCTCTCTCTCTGTTATCTTTTCAATAAAATCTTCGCAACAAAGATGTCGCAATAGACAAACCAATGTCTACTTGGTGAAACTTCATGCAAATGGATTTTGGAATATTTTTCCTCAATAGAGAGTTTAAAAAAAAATTTGTTGAAAACTTAGGTGCTGTTTGATAAAACTGAAAATAAAGTACTGAAATTTTTAAGAGCTGAATTTTAAGTGGTAACTAAAAGTAAAGAATTTTTTATATCTTTTTTAGCATTCAGCATTTAGTGATAAGTGAAGTCTCTGTCACTTAAATTTTTACCCTATTTTAAGTGACACTTACTTTTTAATTGAGATTCAAATTGCGTTATCAAACGCACTTAGTTGAATAAGCACTTAATTTGTTTAGAATTAAGTGCTGCTGAATTGAGTTATAGTCTACCACACACATAACCCAGGCTTCAAAGTGTTTGGTTATTCTTTCAAGGCTTTGAAAATTATTTTGAATGGATTGTAAGCTTATACAAGTTAATATAAAAATTTAAGTTACCGTTGATGCTTTTAGTGTATTAATTTCCTTTCATCATTATATCTGGTTTTTTTACCCTTTAATGCAGCAAAGTAAGGCCTTCAAGATTCTACGGACGAGATTGAAAACCGTACCTTCGTACTCCTTCAATGGCGATCAGTTGAAGCGAACATTGTCAAGCAACCTTTACTCACAAAATCATTACATGCCGAGTAGATCACAAGTTTCTGAGGATAGTGACATAGACGAAGATTCACAGGATGTCCATAATGGAATAAACTTCTCTTCCAGGCTGCAGCAGTTTGAGTACATTCAGCAGCAGCATCGTATGCATTCAAAATCACAGGCACAGTTGCGCTACAGTTCTACTTCTTCAACAAAGGTTCGTTGATCTTCTATGTGGCTACTCATTTTAATATTCTCTAGTGAACTGTACTGTTTATTTTTAATGGTTTCACAATCCGTATGAATCTTTAGGATTGTGTTGTTGGAGTTCAAATAGTACAACTGAGGACTTTGAGGTGCATGTGCAATAACTTGGAAGAGCTTGTTTTACTTGGGAGGCTAGGAATGAGCCATGAGTCCTATTGAGATGCCTCCTGGCCAAGGAAAGGTGAAAGGGGTTTGGGATTAGGCAGGTCTTATGCTCGTATCTACAACAAAATGAGAGAAAAGGATGAAGGGAGGGGGTCTGGGATCTTCCGAGATTCTTAGGTCAAACTTTAGAAGGGCCTTGATATTTCTTGCGAGATTTCTGTCAGTCTGATACTTGGGGGTTGCCATTTGCAAACCAAAAGAAGTTGGAATGGATCTGTATGGAAATTCTGTAATGTTCGTAGGTTTGAATTGGCAAACGTGGCCAAGTACAAAAGTAATATTATTCACTGATATACCATGGATAATGTTGTCTTGCACTTTATAATTTTTTTCCGCTGCTTATAAACATTTATTATTTCTTTCTGCCACTACTTGAAATATTTTTGAACTGACATCCATGCAGGAGGTTCGAAGACCAGATGAATCCTGGCGACCTTTGCCTGTGGTAGACATGAGCAGGACTCCCTCAATATCATCACGTAGAGGTCCAGGACAGTTGCAGCTTTAATTATTTTGCTCCTTCCCCCTAATTAAATGGGGGGATTATACACCAATATCAGTGTTTCCAACACCAGGATGAGATCTGGTACAATTTGTAAATTGTATATTAATGGTAGTGTGATGAACTCATAAAGAATGGTGGGAATTGGTTGGGTTTTGAATTGAGCTTGGGTGCTACCCAGCTATTAATGCCTTTTTAAGGCATTGCTCATGTGGTTGTTATTTTTTATTGAAAACCATATGGGCCCTAGGTAGATATTTATTTTAGAAAATGCAATTTCTTTTTACGGTTCATCTGTTGCAACAATTAAATAAATGAAGCATCTAATTTATGTACATATTATGGATTATGCCTCTTGTCTCTTTGATGATGTTGTTTCACTATCTGTGCAGTGCAAATATGGTCTTTGTGATCTCTGTTTGGATTGTCAATGAAGAGGGCACTTATGCTTCTAGGGTTATACCACCACGCTTTTATCACAAATATTTTCATTAGCACCTACTATTTATCAAAAAAAAAATTATTATATTTTTGATCAAAATTATATGTTACATTCTATCCATTAGGTGGTATACAATCAACTCAGCCGGATCCAAATCTTTCCTGATACCAAAAACACAGCAAACCATTAACCAAAACCTAAAATGTTTACAATGCATATACAAAAATCTACAGCTTTTTGTTTGTGCCTGTTATAATAGCCGCAACAAACCAGACCCCCCCTCTTACAACATTGACAAACAAAAGTACGTGTAGTGCTGAAACCATGGAGACTACAACAATCGTATACACAGGGATTGACAACAACCACCAACACAGCAAAAAACTGAATCCTTTTTACGTACATGTCACAGTGCATAGATCTTCTCATGGTCTGAGTTATAGTCATCCAAGTCCGAAATATGTGCAGAGTAGGTCCAGGAAAAAGATTTGCTTCCACTTGCCCTCCTGACGCGTCTCTGAGAATCATTGCCGAAAATTCCAAAGTGTTGCCGGAAAACAAAGTAACACAAGCTAGCAAGAGTCCCCACAAGGATTGGTAGTCCCACTAAGGTAATAGTAGTAGCCATCCATGAGTTCTTCTTTCCCACAACCACAAAAGCAATTGACAGGAAAGCCCCACAAGTGCTGATGCAGGCAGCCCACATTAGCTTGTTGATTACTGAAACCACCTGTTTCTGTGCCCTCGTATCCCAGGCAACCAAAGTAATCTGAACCACAACAACAGCTAAAGAAATGAAGAGGGATGTAGCATTCAAGAGGCAGAACATCCGGAATGCAACAGTGTCAGCTATGTTAGCTTTCCCCGCTTCGGGTCCAACCTTTAGATATTGGCCGGGCAAGTTGAATATAGCCAAGAAAGCAATGGAGGCAAAGAGAACAGCAACTACTGTCACTGAATTAATGGTATTCTGGACAGCTTCCCTGTGAATTTTCTTAAGTTCTTTGGCAATACCAGAAACTCGTCGGTTGGTTTTCTCATTTTGTATAAGTTGGGAGTGCACCTCATGCTTTATATCACTCACAGTCCTTTTGAGTTCCATTGCTTCATCCACTCGGCCAACATGCCTTGCATGCTTGGCGCCAGCTTCTGTTAGAGCTTCCTTAATTTCCAATGCAGATTGTCCATACTGGAGTTTATCTGCCAAATCCATTGCGGTTTCATGCTGATTATTAATGGCATTTACATCCATAGATGTATAGCTCAGCAAGAGGCTTACTATCTGAAAGAAAGATACAGATTATCAGAACAGAAAAACAATCAAAAACATCGTTAGGGAATCAAATTCCTCATAGCGGTTGCGCAGGGTAATACAAACTGTAAACAATAAGGGAAAACATGTCTATGCACACTCATATGTACTTACCTCTGGTATAATAAACTGAACAAAGAATCCTTACCATGGAATATCTCAAGTGTATAACATGTCTTATCATTTCATTTTGGCCAAGCAAATTTGATAATATGATTTACATGACTAAAAACCACTCTTTTCATCAAATCTTTCTCTCATCCCAAAGCATGTGAAAAAATGGTTTAAACAAATAATCAAGAAAGGAAACTCGGAAAGAATATGTTTAGATTTTAGAGTAAAATATTCCAAATAGGTAGAGACTGCAATAAATTTTTTACCGTATTACATGCAACAAAATCTACATTATTATTATTATTATTATTGTTGCTGTTGTTGTTGTTTATGATTTTGATTGCAATATTTTTTACCATATTATATGCTACAAAATCTACATTATTATTATTATTATTTATGGTCTCGATGCACTATTGGCTTGTTCCAAAGTTGACCACATTCTATGAAATATGTTACAAGGATTATATGGCTTGTTTGAAATGCATGCTTGGTTGCTGACAAAGCGGAATCATGGTAGGTTTGCGTGTGTGAAGTTTTGCTGCTGGACAAAAAAGGAAAAGAGAGTGCATTTCTGGAGATTGAAAACCCGGGAAGTACAGAATCTGTAAGAGAAGCCCTTCAAGGTGGGAAACTATTTCTAAAGTAGAGTGCTGGGTTTTTCTGCCTCGTTGATTAATGAAAACAGTCGATCTGATTGTCTCAATCTAGGCATTAAAACACAGTTCTCCCTCTCCTCATGGCAATTCTATTTACCTATTTCTCTCTCAAACGAATCGGCCATTTTCGGTTTTTCACAGTCCCCATTCCCCAATATATTTATGTCTCTTAGAAGGCTTGCGATTGCCTGCAGAGTTTTGCATTATCACCTGGGGATGACACAGGATTAAAAAATTTATGCCGAAAGGTCATTATTCAATATGGATGTATGTTGCAAGGTTGAGGTCACAGAGGGTAGTGTATAATAACCTTGTACAAAGGACTAGCAAACCATCTAACTCCCCTGATTTTGTGCTGAAGCAGAACTGAAGGCCACGGCTCTGAGTGTATGTGAATTGTCATAAAAAGAAAAGTTCTCAGAAGAATGTGACTGCTTTATACAATGTTGCATGAGTTTTCACAGTCGAAATGAACAGCAATAGTATTTTCCCTAGGCAGACTTAGGGGAAGATCATATGTTGTCTTGAAGACTAAGTAAAGGGGTATAATATAATTATTGCCAACATTTAAGATTAATCAACAAATGTTGCAATAAATGGATGGTTAGTGCCAAGTTTTTAATGTATGACACAATTAAATGGATAGAAGGCTAAGCAAACATGTATCCTCTATGTGAAGATTGGAGACAACCAACAAATGTTCCAGTTATGTGGACAGTTAGTACCCACATTTTCTATGTATGCGTATGACTCAATCAAGGAATTATAACAAATCTATGACAGCTAAAGGCAGAGCAATGATAAAAATGTTGAGCTGTTCCTTAGCATCATGAATTTTCTGTTTGAATCTCCATAATGCTATGAGATTGAGAGACGATTACTCTACTTCATATCTTTTTCAATTTACAATCATGTGATCTATTTTCTTACATCTGGAAATGATAATATAATTATTCTTCAGTAGCACGAGCAGGTCATCATGTCCCAAACTCACTATCAAATGAACTGCCTTCAGCCTACCACAAGTAGGCTGCTTATTTGTCGTAATTTTCCAGAAGACTATAAAAAGCATCGAGTAGTGGGAGATGGACCCGCCAGAAGGGGTAAGAGCAAAGACAAGAAAGTAACTCCTTGGCAAGTAACATGGAGTCATCCTATAAGACTGTTCAACAAATGGGAGAAAAACAAAGAAAGAAACCAAAAAAAAAAAACAAAAACAACAAAATATAATAATAAAAGAAAGAAAAACTCAAAACAATCAGGTGACATTATGCAGACCCACCTTACAAATAACATCAATAAAAGAATACCTGTGAACGGCATTTCCTTGTAGCTATGTGCACAGCTGTGTTACCCTTCTTGTCACGTTCATTCAGTATTGAATAATCAGCAAGTAATAAATCCTCTACAGCTGCAGTATCCTGACCTTTTACGGCCATATGGAGTGCAGTCTGGCCCTTCTTATCTTTGATGGAAACTATTCCTGGATCTCTGCCTATAAGTGCTTTTACTATTCGAAGAAGGCCATATCTGGCAGCCGTGTGCAACGAAGTTTTCCCATTTTTCCTCACTATCCGTATCAAACCGGCATCTGCATCTAATATGGTATTCACTACATCCAAGTGGTCCTGCACTGCAGCTGAATAAAGGGGGCTAGTGTTTGAGGAGTCGCATGACCTACAAAGCTCAGGCCACAAGCCCAAAAGTTCCTTCACAATACCTAATATAAAAGTCAATGTCATATCCAAGTCAAAAACTACCTCAATCATGTAAAGAATAATAAACGGGTGAATTAGCACTTTGGCATTTACTACTCAAATGCACTTGAAGGTGTAGTGGAGTACTACATGCACAACTCTCAACTTCAACAATCGAGCATGGATATGTTAAACTTACAGATTCAACACCCTTAAAAACTGGTGAAATATAATTCAAATCAATAATAACCCATACCTTAAAAACAGAAAAGGTCTGTGTAAATCGACTTCTTAAGTATAGAAAAGGCAGCCCAAGTATGATTCAGTGAGTAGCTGTTATTCAAAATTCAAAACATTTCATATGGAGTCTTATATATAGCCATGAAGGTGATATTTCACATCCTGGCATAATTCAAGAGCAAATAACATGGTTGGTTTGTTAAAGTTCATAATTTTGAGCATGTTTATCAGACATTAATTGGGTAAATCATATCGAGTTAGTAAGATCAAAGAGTACATAGCCAACTCATAATAATGAAATCAAACACATTTCAAATTCAAAGCGCAATTCACTGACTATATAGACATATATACATACACGTAAACAAATATATAAATATGTATATATCAAAATTGTAAAGGCATAATTTTGGGCAATTCTATCAATACATAAATTGGGTAAATCATAAGTTTGTAACTTGTAAGCCCAAATGGTAGATTGCGAATTTTCATCATGAAATCAAACACATGTCAAATTCATAAGCAGTCGAATATGTATAAACGTTCAAAGAACATATATATATAAATATGTATAATGTCAAAATTGAAACTTTCACAATAATTATGTAAATTATAAGCAAATAATAGTCAGAAATATTACACACACACACACACATATATACATATATATACCTAAGTGACCGCGTTTGGCTGCGATGTGAAACGGATTCATATCGGATTTGGACCTGATCATTACAGTCTGGAGATCACAGAACTGGAGTAAGTAGGTGAAGATCTCTTGGAAGTTATTCTCTGCGGCGATGTACAGAGCCGTCTCGCCAGCATCGTTCTGCAAGGCCATTAGAGCTGAGACCGCAGCTCGATCAGACCCTTCATTCTTGATGAGGGATTTCAGCGATTCAAGGTCGCCGGATTGGACGGCGGAGAAGAAGGATTGGTGGGTGATGAATCTCAGAGATTTGGAGGAGTCCATGTAGAGTTGAAAAATATAAGATGTTCAGGATTAAAAGTATTCTCTCTCTAAAAGTCTCTCTCTATATGAAAGGGGACAGAAGAGGAAGAAGGGATGTGAGCTTCAGTCAGTGAATCTTCTGTTGTTTCTCTCTCTAGTTTGACACCAATTTTATGGAAAGAGAAGACCAGGTGGAAAGGAAATGAAAATAGCTGTCCCTTTCTTTATTTTGGTGATTGTTTTGATTTGCTGACTTCGATTTTAGATCGTTTTATTGATGGATGGTACTCGCCTTAAATTGTGCTGCAACTTGGGCGGTTTGGCATGTATTTTTTTTTTTTTTTTTTTATTTTATACGAGTACAGTATTAATTTTGGCAATAAAAACATATTTGGTGCAACTTTATTTTATTTTACAAAGTACTAAAAACCTTCGTGAACAATGACCTAAAACCAAAATACTAAAAATATATTTTTTCTTATTTTAACAACTGTTTATGGCCCAAAACTATAACTGTGCATATTTCTGTTTCCGATATTTTTATACAAAACATCATTCCCCAACGTGCTTTCGAATTTTTTTCAAAACACTCTTACAGCAAAAATATTGTTTCTGCTTTAGCCAAAAACAAAATGACTAAAACAAAGCGCATGTCAAACGGGCATGTTACTCTGTACGCGTGAATTATTATTTTTCTTTTTTAATCATCATGAAAGTTTTCCTTGTATGTGTATAGGTGGGCGCTTGCTCATTTATCCAAAAGTTTAAATTATTGAATAGTGTTCTATACCTACTCATTTATATCCATTTTATTTTTAATCCGAATCCGATGTGGAGATACTAATTTCATTTCCCATCCGTGTGAGACAAGTCTTCCCTTGTAATATTCTCCCAAACTTGCAATGCCCTCTTGCGGTTAGGTCACCCTGCCTACTCAGGTGACTCATTCGAACGCCTTTCGGACCGGGTGCTTGACGTGGTACCAAATCAAGGTCTGGGTCTGACTTTGATACCAACTATAACGGATGAGCAAACGTTCATTTATTTCAAAACTTAAACTATTAGGTAGTGTTGTATACATACCCATTTATATCTATTTCACTTTCCATCCGAATTCGATATGAAACAAGTCTTTCCTTGTAACATTAAATCACTTGGATCTAGTGTCTCAAGAAATATTAGATATAAGATTCGACTCTACTTCAATGCAAAAAAATTCTTTGAGAAGGAGTATGTGAATATTGACTAAGAAATAATAATAATAATAATAATAATAATAATATTCCTAATTAAATTTATTTTTTAAAGTAAAACAATTAAGGCATTGATGACTTAGAGTAGAGTTCATTTTAGACTATCTCACTTTGACAAATAAACTTAACCCGAATATCATTTTCCTTCTGCATGTACACCACTTGTTGCCTACAAGAAATTCAAATAAAGGAAGTAAATTAAAATTTGGTCTTTGAAGCTCTTATGGTGCATTTGAATAAACATGAAGGAACCAAAAAGGAAGTGATATGATTAGCCGTGGAATTTGATCAAATTGAATCATCATCATGTTTGACCAACAAATATTGTACTGTATCATTTTATAAAGCATTTTGAACATATTTTATTTTCAATAATTGAACCATTTTTATGGTGGGACTCTTGCAATATTTTATAACAATAAAAAATAAAAGTTTATTTATAACCAAAAAAAAAAAAAAAAATTGAAAAAACTTATATCACAACTTTTCCCTTTCTCTTTCAAACTTTGTGTCTTAATTTAATTATTATTTTCTCAAAGAAGCGTTCTTGGTTTTACTCTGTTTCGAGGAGTTCTTAAGGTAATTAATATCAAGAATATTATTAATGGATATAAATTAATCACGTGTTATTTGTCTCCTTGTTCTTCCCTCTTCTTTCATGCACGAGTTTAATTCTTTGAAGAAATTAATTAAGGTCTTTTATTTATTTCTTTGTCTTATAATTTTTTTTTTTTTTTTGAAAGTTTAATGGTTTTATTAATTGGGATTCGAGTTGGATGCAGGGATCGATTTGACAATTTGTATATTCGTACATTATCAAGTCTGGCCAATAATATTTTTTAAGTTTGATGTTTTGTTTGTATTCTTGAACTTCGTTTATTTCAATGGAATTTGATACTATAAAATTCTTTTTAGACTTTTGGCATATATATATATATATATTCCATGAATCTATGATTTATGGTCCATTTTAATTTAGTGGGTTTAATGTGTTTTTTATTCTGAACTTTTGATCTTAAGTTTCAATATGCGGATATTAAATCCCATCTCTCTTTTTCCCTTTTATTCCCTTCTGTTTCGAATTTTTCAATCAAATAAAAAAAAAATGTCCTTTGTTTTGATAACTTTTTTAAAACTATTAAAGAATTTTTAGCCCAACGCTATAACCTCGTTTTTAAAGTTGGTCTGTCCCTTCTCAAAGATGCAATGTATTGAAAGAAACATATTGATCTAAGGGAGCAAATCCTTTGAAGTGGGTTACCCAGCAATTTTCTGGGGTGCACAATATAAGACTTTTTATTTAATTACGTCATTTGATAATTTATAAGTTGCGTGTAAGTTATTCACGTAATAAAAATAATTTTTTTGGTCAGTTAACTTCCTTCTCCCCCTTAAGTGATTAACTTATTACAGAAAAATAATAATAAAAAAACATAAAAAATTTGAATTCCACACTAGATCCTTATTTTAATAATATAAAAAATAAAAATAATAAGGAAGTAAGTGTGCTAGAGAGAGAATATTTTACAACATTGAATAATTTATTAAAAAATTGATAGATTTTATGTAGGTATTTAGGTAGATAGTTTACAAACAAAATCTTAACAAGATTTAGTGTATCGTGTTAAGAAGAATGCTATATATACAATAGAAGTCTCATTTGTGACAATAAGCTCTAAATGAGACGGACATTATTTTTTTATCTATTGGGATTTATATGTCTTAGCATAGCAAATTCTTATTTGGATTATAATGACATATGTTCTTCACGTTTCTGAAATATTTATACTTTATACAATTGGTGAATTAAATGTATTATGTTTCGATTCATTATAGAATTGATAGTGTCCACTTCATTACAATAAATATTTATATATGTATGTGATGGCGATCAATACATGAATATAAATAGTAATCATAAATTGTTCATAGTCGGTAATTATGGATGGACTCATAATTAATTAAGATTTGAACTGGATCCGCGTTAGGCTGAGATATATTGCGAGAGCCGTCATATGTAATTGTTCCTTATCACTGTCATGACATTTGACTCTTATAAATTCTTTTATTAATTAATAATTACTTTGATTTGTTCGGCGGATACTTCGGGATCCTTCGGGATCCTTCGATCGACACTTTGGGTACTTATGTAATTAATAGTTAGAGGGTTATATTTTCAATATTTGCATCATTGTTACTTGTATTTATTTTGTATTGATTATGGTTGATCACAAAGTAAATTCGAAGGCCTTCGTGTATTTTTAGACAAAATAATTTATTTATTTAAATTATTATTTTTGTCAAACAAATGTTTTATTATGATCGAGTCAGAAATAATCAAACGTACCAAAATAAATATATTAATTAAATAGTCGGATTGATGACTTTATTTATCCGATAACTAATTATGCATAGAGGGGTCAAAGTGCAACATTGACTTAGAGATTATTTATTATTTAATTGGAATTCAATTAATTTCTTTTAGTGGAGTAGAAATTAATTTATGAATTAATTGAATTGGGTTTATGGACCGGGCCAATTATTAATTCATTGTAGCCAATAAAATAATAAGTCCAAAGGATTTTCGCTCATAGCCCAACTTGATATTGAAATCCTATTAGATTTGAGACATGTGAATTAGAAATTGAGAAGGATTTATTATTTCCTTTTCTTTATCTTTATGTTGCCTATATATATACATGGTCTATGTATATTTTAGGGTAACTTTTGGAAGAAGGAAAAAGGAATATATTTTATCTCTCCAGAGAATTAAGGTTAATGTTCTCATCTAATGGAGGCTCTCACAAGCCTAGTTTTCCAAGGTCATTCATGGAGGCTTATGAGTCATTCCTAAAGGCAAAACAATTACCAAGAAGATGGAGATCCAACGAGAAGGCATCTTGTTAAGGGATCTACAATAAGTGAGAACATTCACTTTAGAGAAAAGATTTAAGGGTTTACTCAGACCTTTGATGTAAGTATTTAATCTGTTAATTGAATGATACATCATATTTTATTTTTGCATAAAACTTGTCTCTATGTGATGAATCAAGATCTGTGAATGAAAATTCCTCAAAAAGTTTTAAAAACTAGCACGTTTCCCAACAGTGGTATCAGAGCATGATTTGCTAGAGATCATGATTTTATCAAAATCATTATTCATGGATCCAAAATTATATACATATATATTTTTATTGATGTATGTTGATGTATGATTTAATATGTTGATATTTATTGATACATGATGATGTATGTATAATTGTGAATGAATGATGATGTATGTTTGGGTCATGGATGAAGTTTACAGGTATATTGAATGTAATTTTATCTTTGGATGAATATAATTAAGGTTTTGATTTAGTCATTTGAAAGTTCAATGATGTAATTTAATTTTTTCCATTGTATTTCAAATTGTAAATATTTTTAAAGCCATGTAATCTTTATCAAATGATGCTATGAACCTTTAAGAAGGTCCAAGATGGTTAAATTAGGCTTCAGGAATTTTTTGGGATTTTTTAGAAATTTTTCAGAATATTTCTGAAATTTTTAGGGCCTAAGTTTAATTTTTCTATGATTTTTTATTATTTTCGGCGACTTTCCGGCGACCGAAGCGCCGCCGGCAGCAACTGCAGCGCCGGAAGGATCAAGGAAGATCCAATGCAGCGAGGTACACCTTAGTACCATGCGCACAGATCCACAACAGTTGGATCGGAGAGAGGAATCAGGTGCCGCGCACCTTTCATGCAACTGGCGCGTGAGGAGGTCAGCTGTTTGCTGGTGCGTGAGGAGCACGCGCCAGGCTAAGCAAGAATCTTCCATGCGCGCGTGGAAGCACGTCCATGCTCGTGCCACGCGCTGCAGCGCCTTTCAGGCGCGTGTGAGCTCGTGGAGGCGCGTGCCACGGGCTGCTGCACCTCCGAGGCCCGTGCCAGCGCGTGTAAGGTCTTCCGGTCGCATCCAAAGCGCTGTTTTGCTTCTCCTAGCTCGATCAAGCT